TAAAGGGTCGAGTGTTTTCCTGGGTTTTCAGGGCAGAGTTGTTTACGGAGTCGAGTGGTTTCCGGGGTTTCCAGGACCGAGTGGTTTGCAGAGCCGATCGAGTGGTTTCCGGGGTTTTCAGGGCAGAGTGGTTTGCAGAGCCGATCGAGTGGTTTCCGGGGTTTTCAGGACCGAGTGGTTTGCAGAGCCGATCGAGTGGTTTCCGGGGCTTCCAGGACCGAGTGGTTTGCAGAGCCGATCGAGTGGTTTCCGGGGTTTTCAGGGCAGAGTGGTTTACGGAGTCGAGTGGTTTCCGGGGTTTCCATGGTCGAGTGGTTTGCAGAGCCGATCGAGTGGTTTCCGGGGTTTTCAGGGCAGAGTGGTTTACGGAGTCGAGTGGTTTCCGGGGTTTCCATGGTCGAGTGGTTTGCAGAACCGATCGAGTGGTTTCCGGGGTTTTCAGGGCAGAGTGGTTTACGGAGTCGAGTGGTTTCCGGGGTTTCCATGGTCGAGTGGTTTGCAGAGCCGATCGAGTGGTTTCCGGGGTTTCCAGCGCCGGTAGGTTAAGTTTGTTGACACTATATGCCTCTCATCAGTATTCAACCAGCTTATAGAAGTTGTAACTTTAAAGCCAAAGGTTTGGGTTTTTTTAATAGATGAAACAGTATATCAATCTAATCACGGCGGACGGTTACTTGTAAAGGGAAGAATTCTGGATTAAACATAAAGTACCTTATGTTTAATCCAGAATTCTTCCCTTTACACTGGCACTTACCTGTTACCGAAACTAACCTATTAGCGGTACTTACATGTACTGACAAGTTACCAAAAGTTCCTGAAAACTACTCCACAGTAACTCTCCACATTTATCTTTAAATAAGAGATATTTTCTGCAACCATATTCTCGTCTCGGATAAAACCACGAGCTCTCACGCCGGAAGCCTCAGATCTGTACTGCACATTGTCTTAAGATGGTAGGAGAGTCTTTAAGTTGCGAGTTCTGAATGTAAGAAATGACGATCTGCTAAACTTTATAAAGGCATATACGTACGTTCAAATATAACGACCACTCCTCGAGACTATCATAGATGTGTAATTATACGAGTCAAGTGATAAAATTATTAAACTATTTTCGTTAATTCAAATCGGCGATATGAAATTCTCAGCAGCGATCGATACATGTTTTTTTTGGTCAATATTTTTCCAGATTTTAAAAGCCCATTTTGCCCCAGAATTGCTTTCACTTCTATTTCTCAATTTTTTTAATTTTTGGTATTCTTTTATGGTTTCCAACAAGTTACTCATTGGCCAATTACCTGAAACTGTCTTCTTCTTCTGTTAATTTTTTTTTTGGCAATCAGTACATTCATAGAAGATTTAGTAATTTCTGTGGAAGTCAAAATACTTTGTTTTGGTATTTTTATGTCACAGACATAAATTTTTTACATTTAGTCTTATTTTCCTCAGGTAACATTCATCTAAGCTCTAAAACCATTATTTAAACGTTGTAAACGTTATAATGTTCTTTTGAAAGAAGTAAATATTTATTCATTTCTGAGAAATACTGTGCCTTTACAATTGTACGATCATAGATCGGGAATTATTTTTTCCATATGTCTATCACTCTTGTGTAAAAACTGTTTCAGCTATACATCACAAAAGTTCTATGAAAGACTTGTCAACTTTTGAATTCGAAACTCAAAATATAGAAAGTTGTGCAATTTGGCAACTAAAGACAAAAAATCTGGTACCTACAAGTTATTATATCGCCGCCGCTAGAATTCAAAGCTTTAAAGCAGCATGCCTCCAGATTCATGCTAATTTTTCATGACTTTTTAATGTATGGAAAAGTAGGCCTAAAATTGTCGAGCGGACAAAGAAAATAACTTACACGTTGCAAACGGCATTGAAAATCGAAAATTACAAGAAATAGGTAAAACTATGCAAAAACTAGAATAACCCTTTCTGCATTAGTCACGCGGTAGAAATGTAATGACAGATACTGCAAAATCAGTCATTTATGGCATATAACATGTAAATTATTTGTCAAGTGATTTTTTTACTTTTCTTAAAATCTTTGTACAATTTTCTCAAGGTTGATTTTCTTAAAATATTTTGGCTCATCTGGAGGCATGCAGCTTTAAATTACAAATGGCATATGAGTGACTTATTATGTTTTTTCAATATTTTAATAACGTTCTGGTAACATGACACAAATTCTTCTCTTGAACCAATGCATTGTCCGATTTTTTTGTGTGAAATACATTTAGAAAATTCTCCATCGATAATATCTCATTAACAAACTGTAAACTGGTTAAAGTTTTTTCTTTTGACTATTTAGCTTAAATTGGGTACGTTAAAACTGAAGCTACCTTAGCAGCTATTTGAATACGCTTCAGTTACTTCAACACAGTGAACGGTAGTGGAACATTCGACCGATGCGCAAGAGAGTAGGTTCAACTGTCGCCAATCTTTCGGTCATTTCCGTCAATCTTCGGATATAAATCTTTGGTTTAAAGGAAATTAAAACCCCAACTTACATGTTGAAGCCAGAGATTCAGTCGTAACTTTCTTTGATGAAGTTCTAAACAGCAATGTACTAGTATACTGTAAATAACAAAAACTAAAGAACAAGAAAGACCAAGTCTTATTTTGTTTTTTTAATTATCAAAAAGTATATAAGCAAGCCAAGGGGAGGAAACACCCCGTAACAGATCTACTACACATCTCCTTCAGAGTTATGCTTCCTTTAGATTCTATAACAAACGTAAACTTAATTTGAGCTTTGATCTAGGAATGAAAATGCATTTTAAACTGATAAAATATCAATCAAAATGGAAGACACGTGTACCTTATTTCAGGTTAAAATGACAGGATTTTAGCTGCACGCAAAAACCAAACAACAACAATGCACCCCTACCCCCCCCCCCCCCCCCCAAAAAAAAAAAAACAAAAACAAAAAAACAAAAAAACAAAAAAAAAACCTTCGCACATTGTGATGCACCTAACGGTATTACTATTTCAAATCAACAGTGACAATTACAGAACAAAAATATTACATCTACTAATTTTCGTTGACTGTTTTATCCGTAAAGAAGTACAAATGTACTCAAAACATAAGATTTTGTTTAAAAAAAAACATTTTAAAATAGGCATAAAAAGTATCTATGAATTCTATATACATATATGTTTCCAAATAATCACAAAATAATAACAAAACGGTCATATATTTGAAAATAGCGCTCAAACAGAACTGCAGCTAAAATGTTAATGAAATCTGCAAAATAGAAAAAAAATCGTAAAAAGTAACAAATGAATAAAACATATCTAAAATGAAATTCATTCTCTATTACTACTATACAAACTACAAGCAACCTATTTCAGTTTGTTAACAATTCGTTACACACTCAGTCTGGGTTACAGCGTATGAAAACGGCCTAATTTTTTCAACATGTCATGTAAATTAGCGTGCATAATCATTAATGACATAATTTTAAAAAATCAGCATTTTAAATCACACCGACCATTTACAAAAACCAAATATGGTTATGCCATACACTGTTAATCAATTTACATGTATAATCATTCAGTTAAAAAAATACGTTCGCCATGTTAAAACGCTCGTATGTCATCAAATAACATCAACAAGCCTAATGTTCATAAGTACAAATACTATCTTGTCAATAATGATATACAACATGTTTACCCTTTGACCTCTCATCTTCATACTAATCACTTGATAATGACTACAATATGACCTTTATGAAAAACATGTGTTGCGGCCGTAATCTGGACTCACCAATCCATTATATCATTTATTACACACAATACTTTTTCATAGTGATCTCACAACTGTTTCAAAGATGACCACCAAATAAATATAATACTAAGAAAAGAAATAATAACCATTATTCAAATTTCCCATTTCAGTAAAATAAAGAAAAACAGGTTTTAAGCGACAACCTTTCAATAACGACCATCTTGACTGGTCTGTAAACTCAAGTTCGACTATATTCCTCATTATGATTTACGTTTGGTAATGCCATCCCGTATACATATTTAATTAAATTGATTAAAGAGATATTTGATAAAAACAATATAATTATGTGTAAGAAAAAACCCAAGAAATGTGTCTATTAAAGCTTCAACATCCTTAGCTGGCACAGAGAAATTGCATATATTTTTGCATAGTTCATAAAAGTCAAAAGTTACATATAATGTAACTTATAATATATATAATGAACAATATTATAACTAATACGTATCCTAATCCCACTACTGGAAATACTCTTAGACGAGAATTTCACGTGTCACTGTGACCTTGAACATATGACCTTAGAATCAGAAGGGGTCTCTTACCGACCATAAACACTGTCTCAGCAAAGTTTCATAAATTAAGGCTTATTACTTCACAAGTCATGGATCAGACAAGAATTTTACACAGTGACCATGACCTTTGACCTCAACATCAGTAGAGGTCGAATAAATTGGTCATGAACAATTTCCACAATAAATCTTAAATCTATATCATATGCAAATTCGTTCTCTAGTTCTTGGCTTGACAAGCCTTTAGTGTTCAAGGTTACGGTGACCTTGACATCAAACATACTGACCTCGAAATCAATAGGGGTCAACTATTAGCCACGGCCACTTTCACACCAAATCTTAGGTCAGTCTGTGTGTCAAATTGTTCTCCAGTATTGGTTGGGTCAGACAAGCGTTTAGTGATCAAGACAATGATGACCTTTACCTTTGACCTTCTGACATACAGACAGACCAACCCATTACAGTATTCTTCATTCTTTTCAGTTGGGGTATAAGGAGTAAAAATTTACATGAGAATGTTACCTTTTTTGGAAAGAATGTAAGGGGAGTTAACTCGGATACAAATTATACGGTGTTAAAATGCTATAATATGTAATAATATAATATCAACGCTATGACAGATCTTAACGAATGCACTTTGGCATATATATATATTTATAATTATGTATATCAAATTATCTAATATTACAAACATATATATAGATTCTGTAAACAATGAGATTATGCGTGACTATAAGCCTCAATAAAAAGCTAAAATGTACATGTAAAATACAAATGTCAAATACAAAACGTATAAAATATCTGTAAAAAAAATATTACAAAGAAAACTCAAATACAACTAAAACAATGTACCCACACGTCTAATATATACATTTATATTCTATATACAATATGAGCATTATTCTTTCATTTTGAATGTATGATGAAATTTACTGAAAGACAAAAAAATCAACATTTAACAACGAAACTTTAAACGGAACAACTTTAAATCCCTTAACATGCTTAAAAAGAATATTAAAGGTCATTGTTATACATCCGTGAAAACTCGACAATCCCCGTCACATTCCGTAAGGGTTTCGAAATATGGCGGCAAAAGTCGACTTCATACCCGCTGCAGACGACAGCATAATGTTTACAATGACCTGATTGACTTCTATTTTCACTTTGCATTACATGTACCTGCTTAAACGCCTGGATCAATCTAATTGTACATGTTTAAAACTAATCAACTTCTTTCTAAAAATCGACTGTTTTATACAAGACAGCCTCAAAAGGTTTCGTTTATACCCTACACTTCCGCTTAAATCATAAAACGATGAAATTAGCCATTCTTGACTTAAGTACAAAATTTTCATTTTAAAGTGTACACATGTACTTAAGAAATATCTATGTAAATATGAAATAAACGATTCGATCTTCTAAGTCAGTAAAACGTCTGTATACCAGTTTGAATTCCATGTTTAAGCAGGAACATAATTGTGAACTAATAATTTCCTGTTCAAATGAAAGGGAACTAAAACTAACTGGAACACAGAAAAAGATTTTTTGTGTGTAAAATTTTCAGTTTAAACTCATGTACAAAATGTTTTTAAACGACCTCATTATACCCATGAAGCATACATGTTCACAATTTGGCCCATACAAAAACATTAAATCCATGTCAAAAGCAGGTTTTTAAAATAAAACAGAGCTCAAAAGACTGGTATCAACTATTAAAACAAACGACCATGAAGTCTAAGACAAGAGATAATAGCCATACAAAGTAAACAAAAAACCTTTGTAAATTAGTAACAATAAAAAATAGTACTACATTTGACAAACAAACCCAAGCTTGTAATTATCGTTAACAATAAGGCAAAAATGCATTGCATAATTTTATCATAGTTCGCTAAAAGAAAGCCCCTTCTCATTCGCTTTCTGTGATCCAGGAACCAGACCACTTTCAAGAGCACGTGACAAATCTGTGCTATGCGCATGCGTAACATCCGGTCCCTGGCCAGACAAAAGTTGCGGTATGTTTTGCTGACCCAGGCCGAACAGCAGCAGTTGCATCATTCTGTACTGATGATCTCTATCTTCTCGGCGCTGTCGTTCCTCCATCTCAATTTTGTTCCGTTCCACCTCAAGTTTTCTCAATTCTAAATCCAATCTCATTCTTTCAAGATCATTTCCGGTGCTGGGTGCTTTTGAGGAGGAAGTCGTCTGCACTGCTGGGGGCTTTGAGAAAGGCACGGACCACTGTTTATTCTGTTGTTCATAATGTTTAGCAGCATTATCATCGGTGACAACTGCATCTGTTTTCTCATTTTTAACAACAATGTCATTATTATTGACCTCGGCAACATTTGTATAAGACAAGGGCTGAAAACTGTTTATATTTGCAGATGGTGTCATGTTGTACGGATACGGAGACGCTGTTTGTAAACCGGAAGCTTGCAATGGCTGCTGGGTGAACTGGTTACTCTGATTAAAATTTGCAGGTGTCTGTGAGTGTTGCTGCTGAAGTTGTTGTTGCTGCTGTTGCGATGGCAACGGTGGGTACCAAACCGTACTGGAACTAGTTGAAACAGTTGCGCTTACAGGAACTTCCTGTGAAAGTGATGAACTTTGTCCATTGAACTGAGAAATGCTACTTATGCTTGGAAGACTATTAAAGGTATTTGCCTTTTTCACTAAATTTGGATTTTGACCAACGGTAAGTTTCCGTCTTACTGGCTGCTTCTTGCCTTTAAACTGAGTCCCCCTCTGCTTTCGCGTCTGCTCCAAATTAGCAGCAAGCATCCCTGGGCTGATTTGCGGATTATCACAACAGATAATCTCAAGTTTATCAAAGTGCCTGCAGTATGTTATTGTCTGACAGCCTTCTGCGATCTCATCTTTTGTTATCTTATAAGCTCTCTTCAATGTATGTATTCTAGTTTTACACTGTTCCCACGTTTTCTCCCAGCCTAGTTCCGCCATTGACCTTGAAATCAGCCGGTAAACAGGAGCGCACGTGACTGATTCTTCCCCTCCCTTTTGCTTATTTAATTCTGCCTGCTTTGCCCAGACTTCCATCAAATATTCAGTTTCGTCGTCTGTCCAAGCAGACCCTCTTCTACGTCTCTTTTCTCTCATTTTGAAACTGTTTGACAGAGATCTTGATGACGTCACTTCCTGAGGTGATGTGACGGTGCTTGCCGGTGACGGTTGAGGAGAAGTTGTAAAACTTCTGTTCGAAGATGCACCTGGGGAATGCAGACTTGAAGATTCAGATTTTATATCACTCGTCGATACAAGATCTGAAGTTTGAACTTGTGGTAAAAATGCAGACGACTCTGTCTCAGTTTGATTACTTCCGGTTGTTTCTGATTTTTTAAGCAGGGCTGATTCAATTGCACTGCTTGTGACACCAAATTGTGGCGGAACATCTTGATAACTGAGATTAGCTGTAATTGAACTTGTAAACGATTTCAGCAAAGGAGTTTCTAATTGTTCCTGGAGTTTTGATTTAAATTGACTTACTCCTGTCTCGCCATTTTGTGTGCATTGCCCTCTCGCACTGGTATTATTGACGGGTGTCACGTGATTTTCTTCCAAAGTTACCGTAGATTCGGTAGTTTCCAAAGTTTTATTCATATTTTTATCAAGGTCATTTCTCGGTTTAGTAAGAGATTCATAAAGTATTTGAGATTCCATTTTAATCGAGTGTCTATAACACTGCGCGGAAATTTAGATCACAAATTATTATAAATCAGTTCGTTGAAAGATCTAGTTAATATTTGTACAATATATAGCGTGCTCAATATATTTTACCTGTAACAGCTTTTTTAAGCGCCACAATAGAGTCAGATTAAATCGTTCTAACAATATGTCGTTTATTGCCTTAATTAAATCCTATTCGTAAACGCATATACACACATCCTGTCGTAGTTTAAACCAGTATTTCAACACGTAAAATGTAGGTCACATGTCATTGAAGAGAATACATAATCACTTCGAACTGCATTAAAAAGTTTTAAAAACTTTGTCAAGTTTTGCAATATTTCCTATACCCACGTGTTGAGTGTATATTTACATATTTCCGATAGTATTTCAGTATTCCTTTTCGTAGATAATTACATACATGTGCTCTGTAAACTGTCCTACTGTAGTAAATTACCGTCTATTTTTAGATTGCCGTAGGTAAATACTACGCCTAGCTGCACTGTTACTACATGCCGCAAGTTCGTGATGGTGTACCGCGTTTAATCGGCACTGCGGATTCACGCTTTTGAATACACAACTCTGCAAAACGTACAGTGAGTCAGCTAAATACGCAGAAGAAATATTTCAACACAAAATTCATATTAAATTTTATAAAACTACTTATGGCGTATTTAAAATGGGTTGGTTTACAATGGTAACATTTTCAATAATTATTTCAAATATTGATGAAACATTAGAAATGTATCATTTGGATGTTCTTAATAAATATGTCTTGAAAAGAAATGTTGATACAATGCTGAACATTTATATGAAGAATAGTTAATTAGAGGCTATTTTGTTCTTGAACACTTTATTATCTGCTATTTAAATATATGTAATATCTCATCATGCGTCTTACACTTGCCAACAACATCCATATATACTATTAATGTGTTAATGTTTTTTTGTTAATGGTTTGTTGTTATTTCTGATACTAAATACTATCAACCATTATTAACTGTATAACGGCCCTTCCATTACAGACCAATTCACTTTAAAACGAATTGAAATAAAATTTATAACTCAGAACGGTTAAATTTGAAATCCAAACCCATGTGACGTACTCTTTCAGGAACGATCAATCGGGGAGGGACGCGATGCATATAATAAGTTGCCAATCCCTACCATGGTTGTATTGACTTTTGGCGCTTTTTTCTTTCCTTCTAAAACGGATTAAATATACTAAAATATAAGTCGCAGCGGCATAAAAATGCCAACAGGGCATTCAATCATTATTAGTTGGAACCTGGAACCCTGCTAAGCTTCTTATCATAAAACTCGGTTAATTAGTAACAAGCAGTGCATGCCTTGAGGATATAATGTGCCAGAATTCTTTAGTTCTGTTGATTGACAGTAAATTGTAAATACTGAATAGCTCCTTTCATTTAATTACTCATGATATATGGTGCTGTATCTGTCAAATATATATCAAATAAAAAAACATATATGAAAATAAAAAAAAAACATAAATTGATAATAAAAAAAATGAGAAAGTTGAGGGCGCAGTCAAAATCCATATTTATATTTTAGGACTACTTTTTCATATGATATTTTTTCTGTGCCAGTTAGTAGCTTCAACTATTAATTTCATTATCAGAAATTGTATGGTTATATTTTCGCAAGAAAGTTCAAGATGGTTGTGATAAATTGTGTACTGAACCGGGCCATGCACATTTATTACTGTGGGTTGTACACAAGACAACTGCGTAGTAAATGGGAATTTTCGTGAACAATTTCTATTGTTTTTTTTCTTGAATGTAAAAACAAATAAAAAAGATTCCGGCTTGTGAACATATATGGAATTTTATCATGTTTCGTGAAAATATATTTCATATTTCACTGAAACGAAAAAAATGTTCTCTAAGACTATCAAAGGGACATGTGGTTTAAATAGCAATGTTTATGGACTGTGGTGTATACATAACAGCTTTCTAAGGGTAGTCAAAGTAATTGTTCTACGAATTGAGATTTTTACTAATTTTGTTTGGGCAATTTTTCTCTACAAAAAGCGAGCCAGATTAAAAAAAAATATCTCAGAATATAGCTTAAGAGCGTCAAATATTAGGACTTTTAGAACTGACACATTTGGTACATTTGTAAAATTAGTGCATGTTAAGAGTTTAACTGATCAGCATTGATTTTTAAGTCGTATCTTTTCGGCCCTTTCCGTCAAACTTCGGATAAGTACTAATAATTTTAGTTTCACATGATACCTGTGGGTGTTCATTTTCAGAGAGGCTACAGAGATTGCATGGTATGTAAGTTCAAGCCGTAATCCGAGCCAACTTTTTAAAAAAAATTTGTTTGTTCTTTTTAATTATTTTTTTGTCTGGTAAGATTATGGTTTTCTAGTTTAATTTTTGTAAATGTTTGAAATAGAATATATTTGCAAATTTATATGTACATTTTAGTGTTGAATTCAAGTGTAAATATGGTAGTTTTACGGTTTGAAAATATTAAAATCCAGTGATTTAACAATAACAACAGAAGCAGAAATGTAAAATTTAACCGATGAGCATTTAAAATATAGATTTTTAATAAATGAAGGCATGGCTGGTGACATAACCATAGTCTGAACTTCAGTAAACTGGACCTGAATGGCCACTTGCAATTTAAACACCACTATATTGTTGTAACCAATGTTCGCATTGGTTACATTGATTTATCAAAGTAGCGAAATACAGATGGACTGGCTATCTTACTCACACATAACGTGGTGTTCGTATGTCTTTTGTAAAAAAAATGCTGTAACGTTCATTAATATAAACTCTGCACTGTTTTCAAAATAAAAAAAGAGAATGTGGGAAAATATTGTGAAATTGTGAAATGTATAAGTTTAGACTACAGTATAGTTACAACTCAAATTTACCAAAAGTTTTTTTAATTTTATTTTGGTAACATTAATAACAAGTAATATATTTTTATTTAAACATATTTTATTGCCAAAAAATTAGACATAATTATACATACATGTAGACAGTTACAGTACAATGACATGAAATATTTGGCAAAAGGGTTGACCCACAAGTTCACTCAACATTAGCAACGGGTGATGCAATAAATTACAATAACATATTTTACAAGAATGACTATCAGTTAGATAGTAGTAACAAAACTCACACATATATAGTACTTGGCTTTAAAAAAATGATTTTAGTTAAGAAAGAACAATAAAAATGATAGGGTGTACATGTTCTCTATCTTGAATAGTATTCTAAGATGTTAACTGATTTTATATGATTTGCGTTACAATGACTTAGAAAACATGTACATTTGCCAAATATAACAAAAACAAACAGAATGCAAATAGATTTTGAAAAGATGAAATATAGAAGGAAAGAAAGAAGAAGAAAAGAAGAAGAAAGGAAAGAATCTTGTCTGTTGTTTTGCAAAAATGAAAGAAAAATACAAGTAATATGCACACTTCATGAAATTTGTAGTAGGCTCTGTGACACCATACAGCTTTGATATTGATTTCATTAATATGTGATTATAGCAGATATTAATAATATGGAAAGTTTTTTTTGTCTTTTTTTTACTGAAAAATGTTCATTTTATTATAGTCATGAATTTAACTTTATTATAGTCATGAATTTAACTCATGTGTCTTTTTGTGATATAAATAGTAAAGCACTAAATGTTGAGACGATTCTTACGCTTTAAAGTAAAAGGTTATTATAAAAATCAGTTCATGATAAACTACGAAATGATCGAACTGTACATACAGACTTACATTGTACTAGCTTAAGATCTTCAGCGTACCCGTTTATATACTATGACATGATGCCGCATTGATCAGATGAAAAACAAAAATATTAAAAAGCGGCTTATAAAGTTTTGGAAGCCAGAACTAACATTGTACAGGACTGTGCTTTCTTAACTTGTTTATTGACGTTCACGATCACAAGAAAATACAGTATGCGCGCGGCTCACCAGAAAACTTAGCCAAACAGTAAAGTACGGTGTCTTTTATCAATGTTACGTGATTGTTCAGTTTGCAAATTGAATTGGATATTGATCTTTAAAATCATAGAAATAAAAATCAAATATAGTCCCAAATATAGTATTTAGATTTTTCCAATAATGATACCTGTATTTATCAATAATTGGGTTAATAATCAACAAAACCAGTCCATTAAGATATTTGGGAACCAGTCACACAACAAGCATGGCGGATGGCGATTCACTGTACGAGTTGAGCTCAGATCAGGACGGAGATCCTGATGCTATAGACGGTGATGTTGAAAATGACGACACTGCAGACGATGGGTGATACATTTTTCTTTAACCTTCAGCTATTTAAATAGTCAATAACTAATCCAAAAGTGCATACATAGTGCCTGTTTACTTGACGTTTCGAGATTTCCAAACATTTTTTTTCGCGATCGGGCATGTCGATACGAACGAATAAAGAAGATAGTACATAATGGAAAAGAATTATTCTATTTAGAGAATGCTTCATGGTGATCATTTCAATTAATAAAAGATACACATGTTTGTTGTTAATATAGAAGGAAATGGAACAAATTATGTCGAACACAGAAACTTGGGTGTCAAACCCAGCCCTCGGCTTGATCCGTCCCTGACAGCTGTCAATAAAATACTTTAAACATTTAAACACAGATAGGGCATCCTTCTTTTAAAATAATAAAACTTGTTATAAAAGTTATAACCATTTCCAGAAAGTTAGAAAAAATTCCGCTTACTATAGTCGTAATTAATTATAAAGTAAAGACTGCGAAACATATTCCTGCCCAACCAATACAAGTTCTGAGAGTTCTAGGGATAACATTTACACCATAATTTAGATTTCTGAGCTGGAATGCATGTATCATCTGTGTGCGTGCTTGATAAACTGCTTGGAGTGATAGACAAGACACAAAATGGGTGGTTGGGTGGCCCCTGAGGGTGGGGAAGGGAGTGAGATTTTAATAAATGTTAAGAAGCAAGAAGCAAACTTAAGATTTGTTTTTCAAATCTTTTTTCCTGTTTCAGGCCTTTTTTTCCTCTATTCTGGGAAAATGCCACATGGCAAATTTGGAAAGTTTTTGTCGTAAAATTTTCCAATTTGGGAAAAAAGGTTATCAAGAAATTTGCTGATTCAGTTTTGGAAAATATGCTAGCATTCAAAGTGTTACAATTGTTAAAATAAATGTAAGGCCAAAAAAAAAAAAAATGTTTGTTTAGGGTAACCTTCCCAAAATTGCTAGGTAGGGTAGGTAGGGATTTTTTTATATTTTTTTTTCAAAATCTGTCGAAAGTTCAGAGTGTTTTCTTGCACATGGCAGTCTTTCCTACACTACTGACATTGCCTGACTTTGTATTATCATATTTTATCATATAAACAATAATTCTGATTAAAATCTCCATAGCTTTAATGCCATTTAATGTTATTTCAATATTGAATAAAGACAATATACCCAAACATGTGTTAATTTTGATGTTTGTTTGCTACAGTCACTATTTTAAAGTTTGACTCTAACCTGAACAGCAAACATTGCAGATTCTCATCAGCTTGCATGGTTGCAATTCTGCTGATCTGAGTCTACATTGGTTGCATGGTAGGAGTTAAGCACAATAAAAGAGCTAAAATGACATGCTGTGATCTGGCTTTCAAAGTTTTAGTTAAAAAATCAAGACTTATTCTGTTTTTCACTATTTGATATTCATGCATTAAATACTGCACATTTCATTGAATTATCAGTTGTAGTGCTAACATCTTGTAGCTCTTACAGTATTACAAAGTTTATATTTTGACACTATGATACAATTTAACAAAATCTATAATTCTGAATTGCACTTTTGATACACTGGTTCACATAAAAAGTGCAAACACTTCTATTTGTAAAATGACACCCTTGTCAGTCAAATACTATTTATTTACATGTATATCAACATATCAAAGACAATAGCCAAGCTTTTTGATGAATTGGCATTTCGTAGATGTCATTCAAAGTGTCGTCTAATAGTGTCCATGGCCCATCTGAAAAAAAGCAAAGACTAGGTCTCAATAACACATGGAAAATGGGATACATTTGTGACGGTATGAAACAAAATGATGCACAGTACAGAGTCAGACTCCAAGTTTGGCTAAAAATTTGTTTCAGTATGCGAAAAAAGGATGAAAACTATACTGGAAAAACCGGGAAAAGCTTTGCAGGTCTCCAGAATAGCTATGTATATATGACCTGTGGCTATACAGGGCCTTTTTACCCTTCTTTGCTGTAGCCTGTATCAGGCTACTTCCCCAAGCCAAATTACTACCTTTTTTCCCCAAAAAACAGTCTAAAATTCCCCTTCTGGCAAATATTTCCCCTTTAACTGAAGAATAAAACTTGTAAACAAACTTTCTAGTTTAAAAATAGATAATTGTTTTGTCCAAGGAATGCTAATAATTCAATAACCTAATAGAGGGATACCTTGATTTAATACAATTGATGTTAACTCAGAGCCTGAGTCTGAGTTTGCAACTTTCTTAAAACAGCATAGGAAATCCCTGCTGCCTTATTTTTTAGTGCACATGTGATTTGTTACGACAATATGGCGACCGATACAATGTCACTAATGTAAACAATATCACAGAACAAGAAGAAAATACGATTGAGTGACATTTGTAATTGTTTATTAAAAATTGGATGAATTGATGACCTTGTTAGTGCAAGCCCATGTGTCCGAGTAGCACAACATGCCCAACTGTTGGAAATAGCGAGCCTAGCACATCAGTGCCAGTAATACAGCGTAAACTGATAATAATGTACCCTCTGAATCAAACCAAGAACCTTCACATGACTAACATAAAATACTATAAATAGGAAATAAATTATGAGTTAATATAAAGGGGCAATAAATTGATCTGTAAAAAATGTCCTTTTACTCCTTTTGGACAGAAAGCTTAGTACTGTAGTAAACCTTAAATGTGATTAGAGGAAGATATGCAAATAAATTATGATATTCCCCCGAAATGTGTGAAAATATGATATTTTCCCCAAAAGTGTGAAAATCTCGCGTTTTTTCCCCACAAAAGGGCTAGGGCGCCTTCCCCAAAACTAGTGAAAAGGCCCTGTTATACTTTATACTCAAGTGCACTTGATTTTCAGTGGGACTAGGGTCTCATTTGCCTCTATCTACTGTCTGAACTTGAACTGGTTTAATAAATTGTAACACTTTCAATTTTCCAATCAAGCTGAAATGTGTAACTTCAGTGTTATTTTCACCCTTTTCATTTTAATGTTACTGTTTTAATATTCATTTTGAAGTGTGGCACAGGACATATCAAAACAGCTTTTCAAATTTTTAAATATTAAAAGCAATAAAAAATAGTGGCATTGATTTGATCTAAAATGTGTTTAACCTTGTTATTTATGCAATAAAATATCAATATATTAAAAAAAAAATTAAAAATTTTTTTTTTCACTGACGGGTATGCATGAACCGAGTACGAAAATTATGGGTATGTTCGTTCTCGGTATCAAAATTATCCACCGGCAGGTAATTTCGTCGGATTTTCGCATGGAATCAATGCAATATATATTTTTCTATCAAAACTGTCTATGAACAGATCCTTATTTACACGTAAATTACCACAGTAAAGCCAGAAAGTCAGAAATCACCCAGGTCCAAAAGATGAGACCGTCATGACATGTACATTGTAGCCTGGTATTTACGCTTGAAATACTACATCAACAAAGAGATTAAACGAGTCGAACACACATGCAAACAACTGGATTTTACATACTTCTAAATGGTTTTATCCTCCACGAGTGGCACTAAGTCCTATGTGCCTGTATTGTAAGAAAAATTCTACATGTATAAGAAATTCCTAAATCGGAAGTGTTCTCCCGCAACAGGTGCGTGGTCCCCGTTCCGCTCTATGTCAATGTATGTAAAACGGAAGCCGGAGAATATTTCCGGTAGGAATTACCTTCTAAAAATATCGTCTACATGTAGAATTTTTGTTTCCAATAGCGTGATATTCATTGGACCGCAATACAGCACGAGCCAATCAAAACACGTATAACTAAAAATGACCGATCTAAATCTGAGAGTCTAAAGCGTTCAATTCGCATTTATCCGCCCTTTGAAACTCTCTATTCGCCGGCGAATATTTTTTTTGTTCAGAAACGGAAAAATATAGTTAGGGTCGGGACAGGGTGAGCTTTTGTGATCGCTTTTCGTCCGGCGTCCGTCCGTCCGGCGTCCGTCCGTAAACTTTTACTTTAAATGACATCTCCTCATAAACCACTAAGCCAATTTCATCCAAACTTCACAGGAATGTTCCTTTGGTGGTCACCTTTAAAAATTGTTCAAAGAATTTAATTCCATGCAGAACTCTGGTTGCCATGGCAACCAAAAGAAAAAACTTTAAATATCTTCTTTTAAAAAACCCAAAAAGCTAGAGCTTAGATATTTGGCATGAAACATCTTCTAGTGAGTGTCTACCAAGTTTGTTCAAATAAAAGCCCTCGGGGCAAAATTGGCCCCGCCCTAGGGGGTCATTGATTTTCCCTATATGCTTATAGTAAAAACTTAAAAAATTTTCTTTTAAAGAACCCAAAGAGCTAGAGCTAAGATATTTAGCATGAAACATCTTCTAATGGGTGTCTACCAAGTTTGTTCAAATAAAAGTCCTGGGGTCAAAATTGGCCCCGCCCTAGGGGGTCATTGATTTTCCCTATATGCATATAGTAAAAACTTAAAAAATCTTCTTTTAAAGAACCCAAAGAGCTAGAGCTAAGATATTTAGCATGAAACATGTTCTTATTGGTGTCTACCAAGTTTATTCAAATAACAGCCCTGGGGTCAAAATTTGCCCAGTCCCGGGGGTCATTGATTTTCCTTATATGTGTATAGCAAAAACTTAAAAAATCTTCTTTGAAAAAACCCATATAGCTAGAGTTTAGATATTAAGCATGAAACATCTTCTAGTGAGTGTCTACAAAGTTTGTTCAAATAAAAGCCCTGGGGTCAAAATTGGCCCCGCCCTAGGGGGTCATTGATTTTCCCTATATGCATATAGTAAAAACTTAAAAAATCTTCTTTTAAAGAACCCAAAGAGCTAGAGCTAAGATATTTAGCATGAAACATCTTCTAATGGGTGTCTACCAAGTTTGTTCAAATAAAAGCTCTGGGGTCAAAATTGGCCCCGCCCCGGGGTCATTGATTTTCCTTATATGTGTATAGCAAAAACTTAAAAAATCTTCTTTGAAAAAACCCAAATAGCTAGAGTTTAGATATTAAGCATGAAACATCTTCTAGTGAGTGTCTACCAAGTTTGTTCAAATAAAAGCCCTGGGGTCAAAATTGGCCCCGCCCCAGGGGGTCATTGATTTTCCCTATATGCATATAGTAAAAACTTAAAAAATCTTCTTTTAACCCTTTCGCTGCCAGAGGGTTATTGTTTTATTGTTCACCTATTTGCCAGATGATTTTCTAAGAAATTACTATATTTATTAATTAATATAATTATTATTGTTTATTATTAGTATTATAATAATTATATATGTTTCCAAATCTGTTAGTATAATAATAGTTATTGTCGATGGTATAATTTCTTTATATTTATTATTATTTTTATTATTATTTTTTATTAATTTATTATTATTACTATTATTATTATAGAAACGGCTAAAGCCGTCCATATGGCAAATACGCCGAAAATAACAGGGACAGCTTAAGCCGCCCCTATGGCAGTGAAAGGGTTAAAGAACCCAAAGAGCTAGAGCTAAGATATTTAGCATGAAACATGTTCTAATTGGTGTCTACAAAGTTTGTTCAAATAAAAGCTCTGGGGTCAAAATTGGCCCCGCCCTGGGGGTCATTGATTTTCCTTATATGTGTATGGCAAAAACTTAAAAATCTTCTTTGAAAAAACCCAAAAAGCTAGAGTTTAGATATTAAGAATGAAACATCTTCTAGTAAGTGTCTACAAAGTTTGTTCAAATAAAAGCCCTGGGGTTAAAACTGGCCCCGCCCCAGAGGTGTCATTGTTTTTAACTATATGTGTATAATAAAAACTTAAAAAATCTTTCTTTTATAAAAACCCAATGAGCTAGAGGTTAGATTTTAAGCAGGAAACATCTTTTTGTTGGTGTCTACCAAGTTTGTCCAAATAAAAGCCCTTGGGTTTAAATTGGCCATGCCAAGGGGGGGGGAGGTCATTGTTTTTCATTATATGTGTGTAGTAAAAACTTAACATCATGAAACATCTTCTAATGGGTGTCTTCCAAGTTTGCTCAAATAAAAGCCCTGGGGTTTAAACTGGCCCCGCTCCGGCCTATATACAGGTGAGCGACCTCAGGGCCATCATGGCCCTCTTGTTATAGGTAGGGTCGGGTTACCCGAAACAGACATATTTTTTTTTTAGGCCTAAACAAATATTAAACTGTTCAGCCTTTTCTGTCATATAAAAAATACAAGGACAGGCTAAAATGTGTACAATTTTTTATGTAAAACTGATATCAATTACAAATCCTGTTTTTATTCTCAAAACATGAATATATTCAGTTAATTTGAGGATACAACTTTAACTCAGTATGTTAAACAGTCTGTAACGCTATTTCGCGACACCAAAATTGAAAATGCGGTACTTTTTCTTTCAAATTGCCAACTTCTAGATTGGGAATATTTTTTTTGGATTGGAAAAAAAAAACATAATTTGGATGAGGAATGGGGCTGACCGATATTATGACCCATGGGATAGGGGAAGAAGTCCTGTGTTTTCACATGTAAAATTCTTATGTTGAGATTAAAAGAACTTTCCTTAATCATATCTTACATTTGAAAGGGCTTCCATTTAGTTTCAAAATTTGGAATTCAGAGACTGCAAAATCAATGATATTAGAAGTCACATTACAGTATATAGGTAAAGAAGGAAAAGTAATACATTTTAGTTGTCACAAGCCAAAATCAAGGATCAAATGACTCCAAAACTTAACTTCCATTAACAGAAACCCTGATTTGGGTTTGTTGCATTTATAATTGATTGAGTATGATTATATTCATATTCTTAAATCAATTTTCAGTGTATTAGATGCAGCCAGGAAGAAGAGCAAGAAGAAAAAGTTAAGGCGTCCACGAGGTATTGAGAAATCAAGCGGAGATTCAGACAGCCAGACAATGAGCGAGGATCAAGATGGACACGAAAGTCATCATTATCATCACCATCATCATCACGATGGGCATACTCATCAAATGAAGAAAAAAGAGGTACCCATTATTCAGCATAATTGGAATTCTCTAAATTCCTTCCCAAAAAATTGTGCTTTGCTCATGTATTAAAGACACAGTTGAATTTACAGGCAGTTGAATTTACAGGGTTTTCATATGGTGATCCATATCAATGTTTGAAATTCTGTTAAAATTGGTTGTATTTTTAACCAGGTTTTCCGAAGAAAAAAACTGGTTATTAGATTGAGGTGTGTCGGCAGGCGGGGGGGGGGGGGGGGCGTAAACAATTTCTTCTGTGCGCAACTCCTTCTACATTTCTCAACGGATTTTGACCAAACTTTCACAGAAGCTTTGTCATCAAGTGCCCCGGCGCATATTGTCCAGGTTTTGCGATTGGATAATATTTGGCCTAATTATGGCCCTTTGTTTTTTTCCTTATATAGAATATATAGTGAACAATTTCTTCTGTGCGCAACTCCTCCTACATTTCTCAACGGATTTTGACCAAACTTTCACAGAAGCTTTGTCATCAAGTGCCCTGGGACATATTGTCGGGGTTTTGCGATTTGATAATATTTGACCTAATTATGGCCCTTTGTTTTTTCCTTATATAGAATATATAGTGCACAATTTCTTTCGTGCGCAACTCCTCCTACATTTTTCAACAGATTTTGACCAAACTTTCACAGAAGCTTTGTAATTAAGTGCCCTGGCGCATATTGTGGGGGTTTGTGATTGGATAATATTGACCTAATTATGGCCCTTTGTTTTTTTTTCCTTATACAGAATATATAGTGAACAACTTCTACCGTGCGCAACTTCTCCTACATTTCTCAACAGATTTTGACCAAACTTTCACAGAAGCTTTGTTATCAAGTGCCCTAGCGCATATTGTCGGGGTTTTGTGATTGTTTTTTTTCCTTATACAGAATTATCAATATATAGTGAACAAATTCTTCTATGCTGAACTCCTCCTACATTTCTCAACAGATTTTGTTCAAACTTTCACAGAAGCATTGTCATCAAGTGCCCTGGCGCACATTGTCGGGGGTTTTGTGATTGGATAATTTTTTACCTAATTATGGCCCTTTGTTTTTTTTTCCTTATACAGAATATATAGTGAACACTTCTTCTGTGGCAATTCCTCCTACATTATTCATGTTTTACATTGCACATAGTTACATTGTTTGTTGCTTGTATTTGTTTTTCAAATACAACATATTTATCTACAATGAAGATAATTAAAAACTGGTTTCATGGCATTGCCATGTTTCTTGTTTTAGCCTGTAGATTAAAATATGCCTTTGACCCTTGTCCAAATTGGTTGTTTTTTGTTGGCACATCTGCTGCCTCAGATTATAAATTAAAACCCTGTTTTAATCCAGTATAAATGGAATTCTCTAAATTCCTAACAAGAAATTTGTGCTTTGCTGGTGTGTAAAAGGCGCAGTTAATTTAGAAATAGTAGGATTCAAGTAGTAACACCAATCGCATATCAACTACAGTCCTGTGTCTGTCTCGGAGCAACAAGCTAAGAAATTAATTTCAGACATTTTTAGTGTCACGGATTACAGCTGCATGCCTCCAGATCAAAAAATCAAACTTGAGAAAAATGTATTATGATATGTGTGACTAATGGCTGATTTATCATTATATTTACTCACTATAGTTCTGTGATTAACACATACAGGGCAATTGTAACCTCTTCTTGACTTTTAAGTGTAAATTACTTTCTTTTTTCACTTTACAATATCTTACATGTAAAATCAGTTTCAAAATGTTCATGAAAATTAGCATGAATCTGGAGGCATGCTGCTTAAAGAAAAAAAAATCTGCTGGTACACATATATGAAGATATTCTTTTGATTTTACAGGATATGAATCATATGTCTGGGTCTGGTGCTGAGGCTGATACGGAAGGTCAGGGGTCACAGATGGAATACACCCCAAGAGGGAAGGAAACTAAGACTGTAGATGAGGAAAAAGCTTCAGGGGATAAAGCGCAGCCTGCTGTACCTGCTTTGGTAAATATTTCATTTCAAAATCCCCATTTATAACAAAAGTCCCCATTAATAACAATGGACAGGTCCAGTTTCAAAGCAGGGCAAGTCCATTGCAAAAATTAAAGGTGATATAGGTTGATTATGACACAGAAACAGTCAGATATTGCTGAAAGAACAGAAAACAAAAAAATTACTTCTGGAAGATAGGCAGTACATTGTAATAATTGTTAGTACATGGATGAAACATCGTAAATAATTATAATAGGTTGAGATCAAGTTTTCTTCAGACTACTTACAGTTAAACTTCGTTCGCTTGAACTCTGATCGCTCGAATACCTCCCTTCGCTCGAACTCATCGCCCAGTCCCGGTGAAATTCCTATATAATATATATTGTTCTACCTCGGATCGCTCGAACACCGATCGCTCGAACTCTCGAACATGATCTCTGGTCCCTTCGGAAGAAATATAGTGAAAATCACACCTTTTCAGTCGAACACAAAAAGACAAGTCGACATGTCCTAAATTAATGACCGTTGGCGACACATGTTTTTAACACCTCGTGATCGTGACAAAGGCAATTAAGGTTAATTGATATAAAATAAGAGGTGTTGTAACCGATTTGTTTGTTACGAAATATTGTTGATTTGCCGTTTATGGTAACGATAAAAAGAAAATAACTTGTTATAAGTAAAATATGCAAAAGTCAGTAAAGAATAACGTTTACCCGTACGGCTTTAATTACAACCGTAGTGTGAACGTAACGTGAATTGTAACAGTGTTTATCTATTTATAGAATGATACTTGTATGTGTGTTTGTTTTAGTAAATGACTACAAATAGATGCTGCTGTAAAACTTTTTCTCAAATATTTCATTAATTTATCTTTTAAAATTAAATTAATCCCATTATAAACATATAAATATATTTTGAACATTGGTCAACAAGTTTGGTCTGATTGCCCAATCGAACTCAACCAATTACAATATGCATGAATATAGATTAACACAACATACCGTTAATACTAATAATTCTGAATATAACATATTTGACAAACAGATGTCCTAACAAACAATTATATTGACGTATTTATCATCAGATCGATGTATGCTAGAAAACCTTTAGGCATTTGATCAACGTAATAATAGTTCAACCTCGGTTGGCTCGAACTACCGATCTCTCGAACAAATGTGCACAGGCCCTCCGAGTTCGAGCGAACGAAGTTCGACTGTATTTTTTAAGGTTACTGGTAGGGGTATGTATCACCCCTTTAGTGATAGCTCTCTAGTTTCTGTAGGAGTAGAAAAACCTGTATAATAAGAACAAGGTAAAATAAATATGAATATTAGATAAATTTATACATGGTAACATTTGGATTCTGTGTTTTCTAGAGTCGTGCTCAGATACAGAAGACAGTAAAGGAACTAGAAATGTTATCTATGGTGGCAGGGGCCGCACCAAAAAGCATGGACGAAGCTGCCAAGAAAAGATACCAATTTTGGGAAACTCAACCAGTGCCAAGAATTAGTAAGTGTTTAAAAGAATGTTTAGATAAAAAAGGTAAAAATGGTAACCTGAAAACGTCATGCGACGGTTTAGGCGTGCTGTCCTAGCGACAACACTTTTTTTTACCAGGGTACCTTTTTTCCCTCAGTGCTTTTGATGCCTCCACTTAGGGAGTAAATGTGAAATAATTTGTCTTAGAAATAACAAAATGTACATAAAGCAGTATTTTGACTTCCATACAAAATACTAATTCACTATAACTGTACTTATTGCCAAAAAGCAACAGATGAAAAAGATGGTTTATGTAGTTGGCCAATGAATAACTTTATGGATACTATAAAAGTATACCAATATCAAAAAGCTTTTGATAACTAAATACGAAAGCATTTCTGCGGCATAATGGGTTATTAAGAAACAATGAATCCAAAAATATTGCTTTTTTTGTTGAAGGAAATTTTGTTTAGAAAGATCCTACATATTACATTTATACGCCAAATTATGTATTACATTTTGACGTCGTTGTCCTTGACGTCATATGACGTTGACGTCATTTCCTGTAAACAAAGTATACTTGATGAAGACTTTTGAGTCAAAAAGTTGTACATTTTTCAAATAAAATAATTACATTTTTAAATTGAAACTGGAGTTGATTTCTATATTCAAACTTACGTTTAGAAATATAGAAATTTATACTTTTTGGAAAGGAGATGAGTTTAACCTGGCCTCGGCCCTTAAAAAGCCCAGTTTCTCAGTGTGAGATAGAAGTTGAAAAATTTCATATTTCAGACGAGAAAGTACAAGGAAATGAGGAGATAGAACAAGATAAACCAACTGATGAAATCCGACAAGACACATATTCATTGCCTCAAGGATTTAGATGGGATACCCTTGATATTAGTGACCCTCTTATTGTAAGTAGTATTTTTAAAAAAAATTTTTTTTTTTTCAATTTTTAATGTTTTTTTTTTTAAAGCTTGACTTTCAGTTTCATGCAAATTTTCATAAAAATTTAGAAAAAAATATATTGAAAAGTACAATATTGTGATGTGAATGGAGAAAATGATTTATACTTTGTAAATGACACATTCAATCCACATGAATTGCAAAAAAAGTCAGTATATACAAAAATAGCCCTTACTGCATTAGTAAAGAAGTAGAAATGTGGAGAATAATACTGTTAAATTAGTACCTGTAAATTATTACTTGAATCTTGAATCATTTTATTTTTCTTAAAATCTTAGCACATTTTTCTCAAGTTTGATTTTCTTGAAATATTTTGGCTCATCTGCAGGCATTGGGTTCTACTTATTTGAGTGCCGTGAAAGAAAATAAACAGAGAAAAAAGAAAAAAAGACCAATAGACTTTTTTATTTATAATTGAATAAGATCTGAGGCAAATATCCCCCTAGTCCATTTCAGTGTAATGTCAGGCTATATTTCTTTATTATATACCTATAAATTTTCTCTCTAAAATACACGCAAATCTTAAAGCGAAAATAAGCTTCAACAAATAGAAATTTCCGTATTATGTTAGTGACAAATACGGTTCCATATATGGAAGTGTCAGACTATTTTTGACGTTGGTTCCGATCTTAGCTTTGTATGACGTTGCATTTGGAAACTGGAACCTAAATTATTAAAGGCGTGGCCGGTTTTCCAAGAATTACGTATTCATCCGTCAGTCATGAATTTATTTCTTGACAACTACATTTCATTTTCTGAATAAAACGAAAAGGTATATAATAAAAGGAAAATTATTTTGTAGTAACTTTCTGAGGCTATGTATTTTTCTACTCGCAACATTGGAAAATTGATATCTTGCTCGACCTTCGGTCTCGCGAGATATCAATTTTCCACCGCTGCTCGTAGCAAAATACAAAGCCTCAGAAAGCTACTACAACATAATATTCCGTATTTATTGTACAATACTATTAACTCTTACCACACTAAGTATTTTAGATCAACATGTCCATCTTTAATTCTTAACAAATCCATTCATCATTTATTGGGAAAATTTTAAAGTATGTACAGACAGTTAATTTGAACGGTGCAGATCACGTTCATGCAGCAGAGAATGATGTATTGCCCAATTGTGGTCTACACTGGTCCAATGGGTAGAATTGTGTGCCGCCAGCAGGGTAAAGATTTATGTACCTAATATTATAGTTTCAGGAAAATAATGAAATCTTTTAATTCATAATTATGCTAATGAATTATAAATTTTCTGTTGATTATAGTTAAAAGAGCTGTACACATTATTAAATGAGAATTATGTAGAAGATGATGACAACATGTTTAGATTTGATTACTCTCCAGAATTCTTACAATGGTAAGTTGATTTTTACTGTACAATATAAAGCTGGAATGTCTTATACTATATTGGTGCAACTTAAAACGTAGCCCAAAAAAAATGTGAGGAAGCTATTCAGTGCTTACAGGAGGTTAACTGGCTATTCTGGTGCCTGCTTGTTTCTGGTACAATATAATAGAGGAGCTGCCAAGGTGGTCCCACCAATAGTTGCCATATGACATCTACTGTGTCATTGTGACTTTAAGCTCTACAAACTGCCTCCGTGGTCGAGGAGTTAGAGTCGATGACTTCTAATCCAGTTACCTCTCTGGCAAGGGTTTGATCCCTGGGAGATGCTTTGGTAGTTTAGCGTAGAGGAAGGTAGTCTAGTACTGGTGTTACTCTCCAGGTACGATGGTTAGGAAACTACCCGCCTATATGACTGAAATACTGTTGGGGAAAAGGCGTTAAATGAAACAAACAAACAAATTAAGCTCTACAAAAAGAAAGCAGTATTTATTTTATTACTGAAACATAAGGTCTCCAAATCTCACCGGAGATTTATTTAGTGGTTTTTTGTCCCAGAAAAAGAAGATAATATTGCTGAACAAATATTAATTTTTATTGATTGATTTTGTTTCACAGGGCGTTACAACCACCAGGCTGGTTAAAAGATTGGCACTGTGGTGTGAGGGTAATCAAGAGTGGCAAGTTAGTCGGGTTTATAAGTGCTGTTCCTGCTCACATTAAAATATACGACAAGTAAGTGTTATGATCTAAGTAAAAGACAATACAGTAGAGCTCTGCCTTACAGTTTGTCGGGTTTAGCGGCCACTCTGATAATGCTTAGATAATAAGTAATACTTTTCATTTTGATTATACATAACATATTATTTTATTCACAAGTGCAAGAAACTTAGTAATGAACCTACATGAATACAATATTCTTTTATTCTTTTTTTCACATATCCAAAATAAGAACTTTGACAGTAAAAAAGATTCACTTTTTAGCTCACCTGTCACAAAGTGACAGGGTGAGCTTATGTGATCGCTTTTCGTCCGGCGTCCGTCCGTCCGGCGTCCGTCCGTTTGTAAACTTTTACTTTAAATGACATCTCCTCATAAACCACTAAGCCAATTTCATCCAAACTTCACAGGAATGTTCCTTTGGTGGTCATCTTTAAAACTTGTTAAAAGAATTTAATTCCATGCAGAACTCTGGTTGCCATGGCAAGCGAAAGAAAAAACTTTAAATATCTTCTTTTAAAAAACTAAAAGAGCTAGAGCTTAGATATTTGGCATGAAACATCTTCTAGTGAGTGTCTACCAAGTTTGTTCAAATAAAAACCCTGGGGTCAAAATTGGCCCCGCCCCAGGGGGTCATTGATTTTCCCTATATGCATATAGTAAAAACTTAAAAAATTTTCTTTTAAAGAACCCATAAAGCTAGAGCTAAGATATTTAGCATGAAACATCTTCTAATAAGGCCTAAAAAAAAAATTGATGTGTTTCTGGTGGCGAGGCGAAAAAAAGTAGGGTCGGTAGGTCGGACTTTTTTTTTTTTTTTTTTTTTTTTTAGTCAATCAACGATTGTAGATATGTCAGATACGGATTATATGTACTTTAAATTATATTCTATAGCATATAAAAGTACTTAAAATGTTAGACTACCAAACCTAGTCTTCAATATTTTATTTTGAAATAAATTTTACCAATGGCATGACTCGACTTTCGTTTTCATTTTTTTTATTCTTACAAAACAACTGGCTTCAATTTTAATATTATCACTCTTAACATGACCATGCACGTCCGAAAAATGTTTTGAGCTGTTTTGCTGTGGTCTATTAATTTGATTTCCTATTTTGCCAAACTATGATCTTATTTTTAAAGAAAATCGCCAGCAGTGACACTTCGGCTGCTTGTTGTGCCGCCATATTAGCCGGTGCGCGTTAATACGTAATTGGAACCCGAATCGTCTGTGCCTCACATCGTTGTCGACTCGCAATACTAAAACTCGTCTTCGGTACGGTTGGTACGGGCGCCATTTTTTTTTTGTACATCGATAAAAAACTTTGGGTCGGCGCTAAAAAATAGGGTCGGTCGGGCCACCGGAAACACAACATTTTTTTTTTTTAGGCCTAAGTGTCTACCAAGTTTGTTCAAATAAAAGCCCTGGGGTCAAAATTGGCCCCGCCCCAGGGGGTCATTGATTTCCCTATATGCATATAGTAAAAACTTAAAAAATCTTCTTTTAAAGAACCCATAGAGCTAGAGCTAAGATATTTAGCATGAAACATGTTCTAGTAAGTGTCTACCAAGTTTGTTCAAATAAAAGCCCTGGGGTCAAAAATGGCCCCGCCCCAGGGGGTCATTGATTTTCCCTTTATGCATATAGTAAAAACTTTAAAAATCTTCTTTTAAAGAACAAAAAGAGCTAGAGCTAAGATATTTAGCATGAAACATGTTCTAATGGGTGTCTACAAAGTTTGTTCAAATAAACGCTGGGGTGAAAATTGGCCCCGCCCCGGGGTCATTGATTTTCCTTATATGTGTATAGCAAAAACTTAAAAAATCTTCTTTGAAAAAACCCAAATAGCTAGAGTTTAGATATCAAGCATGACACATCTTCTAGTGAGTGTCTACAAAGTTTGTTCAAATGAAAGCCCTGGGGTCAAAATTGGCCCCGCCATGGGGGTCATTGATTTTCCTTATATGTGTATGGCATAAACTTAAAAATCTTCTTTGAAAAAACCCAAATAGCTAGAGTTTAGATATTAAGCATGAAACATCTTCTAGTAAGTGTCTACAAAGTTTGTTCAAATAAAAGCCCTGGGGTTAAAACTGGCCCCGCCCCAGAGGTGTCATTGTTTTTAACTATATGTGTACAGTAAAAACTTAAAAAATCTTCTTTTAAAAAACCCAATGAGCTAGAGGTTAGATTGTTAAGCAGGAAACATCTTTTTGTGAGTGTCTACCAACTTTGTTCAAATAAAAGCCCTTGGGTTAAAATTGGCCCTGCCAAAGGGGGGTGGGCGGAGGTCATTGTTTTTCATTATATGTGTGTAGTAAAAACTTAACATCATGAAACATCTTCTAATGGATGTCTTCCAAGTTTGTTCAAATAAAAGCCCTGGGGTTTAAACTGGCCCAGCTCTAGGGGCCTATATACAGGTGAGCGACCTCAGGGCCATCATGGCCCTCTTGTTCATTGACACGCTTATTACGTTATCATTTACCGCGTCATAAAGCTATGTATGTATAAGGCATATGATGGATGAAAATGAATGCACAGCAATGCAATACGATTTTTACGGACTCGCAAAAGTGGCATCTGATGAATCGATGTATTTTATTTTTCAGAGATAAGCATATGGTAGAAATTAATTTTCTGTGTGTTCACAAGAAGCTACGATCAAAGCGCGTTGCACCAGTTTTGATTCGCGAGATTACTAGACGTGTTCACCTGAAAGGACTGTTTCAGGCAGTTTACACGGCCGGAGTGGTATTACCTAAACCAGTTGCTTGTTGTAGGTGAGTGATTATAATGTTTATACTGATGTATTTTGTGTAATGGATTTGTCTTGCTTTGAGTTAAGGGCTGTTCATTAAAGGGGTTTCTGTATCAAAATTGTCGAAAATTATAAAATCTGACAAGACTGCTGTTTTGTGCAGGCATGACTGGCTGTATACTGTTCCAGGGTTTTCGAAAAGGCATGCATCTTTCCATACTGTTTTGTAGAAATTTTAACTTGGTGCATATGTGGATTGCGCCAGAAACTGAGTTTTGAAATACTTTATTTGCTTCCCCTTCAATTATTTCAACCATTTTATATAAAAGTTGGTTTAATTGCAAGCATTTAAGAGGATTAAGTTCAATCAGGGCTTTTTAGCTCACCAGAGCCGAAGGCTCAGGGTGAGCTATTAGTATCAAAGGGGGATGCTCCGGCGTCCATCGTCAGTCGTCATGCGTCAACAATCGTCTTCTTCTCTGAAACTACTGGACAGATTTACTTCAAATTTGGTCTGTAGCATCCTTGTGACAGTCACACTTGAATTTGCTCATGTCATTCCAATTGGCCCCTTTTAGGGGTCTTCAGGGCTAAAAATAGAAAAACCTTTAAACATCTTCTTCTACAGAACTAATGGATGGATGATCACCAAACTTTGTATGTAGCATTCTTGGGTAGTCTTTTATCAACTTTGCTCATATGAATTTGATTGGCCCCTTTTAGGGACCGCTAAAGCTCAAAATAGAGAACCTTTAAACGTCTATTTCTACAGAACTAATTGATGGATGATCACCAAACTTTGTCTGTAGCATTCTTGGGTAGTCTTTTATCAAGTTTGCTAATATTATTTTGATTGGCCCCTTTTAGGGGTCTCTAGGGCTAAAAATAGAAAAACCTTTAAACATCTTCTCCTACAGAACTAATTGATGGATGATCACCAAACTTTGTCTGTAGCATTCTTGGGTAGTCTTTTATCAAGTTTGCTAATATTATTTTGATTGGCCCCTTTAAGGGGTCTCTAGGGCTAAAAATAGAAAAACCTTTAAACATCATCTCCTACAGAACTAATTGATGGATGATCACCAAACTTTGTCAGTAGCATTCTCTTGGGTAGTGTTTTATCAAGTTTGCTCATATTAATGTGATTGGCCCCTTTTAGGGGCCGCAAAAGCTAGAAATAGAAATACCTTTAAATGTCTATTTCTAGAGAACTAATGGATGGATGATCACCAAACTTTGTCTGTAGCATTCTTGGGTAGTCTTTTATCAAGTTTGCTAATATTATTTTGATTTGCCCCTTTTTAGGGGCCGCAAAAGCTAAAAATAGAAATACCTTTAAATGTCTATTTCTACAGAACCAATTGATGGATGATCACCAAACTTTGTCTGTAGCATTCTTGGGTACTCTTTTATCAAGTTTTTTTATATTAATTTGATTAGCCCCGTTTAAGCTAAAGCTTAAATGCCCCAGGTCATGGCATTTCTTCAAATTATTGTTTAAACATATTCTATGCTCAAATTTAATATTAGAATATATTGACATTCCAACACTGAAAAGCAGTTGTTTCTGGTGAGTGACTCAGGCCATCGTGGCCCTCTTGTTTTAAATTGTTTTGTTTATGGCTACTTCCTTACTAACTGATAATGGGTTTCCAAAATCCCTGTTTCAGTCTTATTTTCCAATTTAAACTTTAATCAGAAAACCTTACTATATAATTCACTGAATAAAATTCTTTTTCTGTTTCTGACAAACATATTTTTCAATCTTATAAAATATAAACTAAATAAAATAGATAAGTGTAAAAGATGTCAGATTTAGCAAATGTTCTATTTATAGATACTGGCACAGATCGTTAAATCCAAAGAAGTTGATTGAAGTGAAGTTTTCACATTTAACCAGAAACATGACTATGCAGCGCACGCTGAAACTGTACAAATTACCAGATGTAAGTGCTTTTAAACAACCCTACATTTTCAAAATATTATGGGACAGCATATTGAACGACCACAAAGTCAAGAGATTGCAAGTTTGATCCCCATCTACATTGATTAGAATGACTAAACAGTAGGGATGGCAACGAATACCAAAATCAATACTCGAGTACTCGGTCATTTTTCCGATCGAGTACTCGGTTACTCGGATGATTTTTAATGATCTTTAAAGTTTTATCACACAATCAATATCAACACCGTCTGTATGCTACTTTCGTTTTCTATTTTAATTCATAGAATTCGTAACTATAAATAGGACTGCAAGAAATATATAAATATAAACATAAGAAATGTCAATGACAGCATTTCTTATATACCTATAAATTTTCTCCCTAAAATACAGGATGAACTTGAAGCGCAAATGCAAATACGCTTCAATTAACGGATAGAAATTATAATTATAGAAATTGACACATACGGTACCATAATTATATGGAAGTGCTGGACTATTTTTGACATTGGTTCCGATCTTAGCTTTGTTTAAATGTAGCATTTAAAACGGAAACCAAAATTATAAAAGGCGTGGCCGGTTTTGCAAAAATTACGTATTCATCCGTCGGTCATAAATTTGCTTCTTGACAGCTACATTTCATTTTCTGAAATTTCTTATAGTGTAGTATAATGAAAATCATTTATAATTAAAACGAAAAGGTATATAATAAAAAGAAAATTATGTTTTAGAAGCTTTCTGAGCCTATGCATTTTTCTACTCGCAATGTTGGAAAATTGATATTTCGCTCGACCTTCGGTCTCGCGAGATATTAATTTTTCCACCGCTGCTCGTAGCACAACATAATATTCCGTATATATTTACGTTTTTATAATTAACAAGTTTCGGCTACAAACTGTCTAATATTTAAAGGTGTTTAAATATCATAAGAGGCCGAATGACGTAAACGACACAGGACTGTGTTCAATCCCATACGCGTGTCAAACTGCTGATCGTCTAGTTAAATTTACGATATCATTTTCACACCTCTGCAAGGATGTTTTGATTGCATTTAACAAGTATTTATATAGATACGTGTACATTTCCGAATTTCTGAACTAATCTTTCTAAATCGCAAAAAGTAGAAATATTTTTTTTTTCCGAGTCATCGATTATCAATTTTGTTAACCGATATTCGGACGTTCGATCGAGTACTCGGTTAGCCGGTTACTCGTTGCCATCCCTACTAAACAGTATTTCAGATGAAAGACTAAGTAAACCTTAAGTCCTGTGTAAAAGTGCATAACACTTGGCGCCGACACAGATCTGTTTAAATTTGGAGAATTTACATTCTGGAAATAATCATCGAACTTAGAACAAATAATTGTGTATTCATAAAATGCATGTGTGTTTAACATTGTAAAAAAGAAGTTAGTTGTAACTTGTAAAAAAAGTTAAATATTTTAAATACAAATATTTAAATAATTCATTATGAATTAAAGCTGCACGCCTCCAGATGAGCGAAAATATTTCAATAAAATCAAACCTGAGATAAATGTACTAAGATTTTAGGAAAAGTGTAAAGATTCAAAGTTCTAGTAATAAGTTACATGTTATGTGCGATTAATGACCGATTTTTCAGTATTTATAACTATTTCTACTGCGTTACTAACGCAGTAAGGGATAGTTTTGCATATTTTGTCCTCTTTTAGTAATTTACGTGGGTTGTAAGTGCCATTAATATCGTGTAAATTGCTTCCTTTTGGTTATTTCACTGAATAATACTTTTAAACACATTTTCAAAATTTTCATGAAAATTAGCATGAATCTGGAGGCGTGCCGCTTTAAGAGAAAGGGCTGACTTTGTGTTATTTACCTGAGCAGTCAACTTTGACTGGTTTAATTTGAGCTATGGAGCTATTTACTTAACAGTTTATGTTAAAAGCTTGTACTCATGTTTTTAATAGAATGATGTGTTGATACAAAATTCAAGAACACTGCTAAGGATAATTATCTAGGGTTTCATGCAAAATTGCTGATTAATCGGAATGAGATATCTGAAAATTAGTGGATACGGGGGCTTGCTGCGTTGATTTTGGGCTTGTCGCCATCTATTTGCCCGACACTTCTAAAAACTGTGTTATTTTGAAATGATTTTCTCTGTTACAGACCACAAAGGTTCCAGGATTCCGCCCATTCACTCCAGCTGATGTTACAGACACTTTCAAACTTCTTTCTAAAGTGAGTACATCACACGATCACAATGATTGATATAATTTAAAAAGGATTTTGAAATGAACTTTACATTAGCCTGTTACATGGTAGGAAAAAATTGTCATAATTATGCTAGAAAATTACATCTGCTGACTGTTTTAAGTATTCTTTAAGTATCTTAGAAAGGGGCATTTGTGGTCGAGCAGTTAAGTTTGTTGTCATCAAACCACTTGCCTCACACTTGCCTTGTAGGTTCAAGCCATGCAAGCATTGTCGTATTCTAAATTTGAGAAAGCTATTTTATAGGACATTGGTGGTTCTACTTAGGTGCCCGTATGTGCCTGAAATAATGTACAGAGTGGCACCTGAGATCTTCCTCCACCAGTAAAGCTAAAATCATCTTTATTTATTTACAGCATTTGACTAGTTTTGTTATTTTCTGGTTTTCATTATTTGACTGATTTTGGTATTTTTTCTGGTTTTCAATATTTGGCTGAATTTGATATATTCTGGTTTTCAGTATTTGACTGGTTTTGATATTTTATGATTTTCAGTATTTGACTGGTTTTGATATTTTATGATTTTCAGCATTTGACTGGTTTTGATATTTTATGATTTTCAGTATTTGACTGGTTTGATTACAATTTTGTTTTTGTTTTTCAGTATTTGTTAGGTTTAGATCTGGCCCCAGTATTCACAGAGGAGGAATTCCGTCACTGGTTTATTCCGAGAAAAGGGATTATTGATAGCTATGTAGTTGAGGTAAGCTGACATCAAATTGTTAAGGGGTCATCTGTGACCAATTGTTTAAGGTCTTTTGACTTCAAACCACTTGCCTCTCATGGCTGTAGATTCGAGCTTGGATTCTTGCATGTGGGGATGTTTTCCTGCTAGCTAGAATACCCAGGTGCCTGTTTGTGCCTATAATAATGCACAGAGGGGCATCAGAGGTTTTCCTCCAACAGTAATGCTGGAAAGTGGCCATATGATCTATAGTGTATTAATGTGATGTAATACACAAGAAAAGAAATCAAATTGTAATGTTGTAAACATTGGTTAGAATTAGTTAAAGGGGGTGTGATAGTAACTTGCAATGATCTCTACCATTTATAAACATGCTTAATCTAACAGACTGCAACATTTTGAATTTTATCATTTTAGGCCTTCTTTAGGGATTCAGATTTTTATGCCCCCACAGAGTGGGAGCATATAGCGTTGCACTTGTCCGTCCGAGTGTCCGTCCGTCTGTCCGGTGAACGCAACTCCTCTTAAACCAGATGGCAGATTTTGCTTAAACTTCCAGGGATTAACAACCTTAATGTGTAGATGGTAGTAAAGGAAGAAATTTTTGCTGCGACCAAATTTAACAGAATTATGGCCCTTTGTTGATTTTTTCAGTATAAACTATGTAGAAATTTTGTGAACGCAACTCCAGTGACTGTTAAAATACTTCTTAATTGATATTAGTTAACATACTCTAAATAAGTGAAACCGTCATAAACAAAATACTGGCATCAAACTTTGCTTGAATTATTCACTATTACATTTCAGAACAATGGAGTTATTACAGATTTTGTAAGTTTCTACACTTTTTGTACCCTTCAAACTGGTGAAAGGGCACGCACTCCGGCTGTTTTTTTTCAGACTCTTCGACGTTGATTTAAATGTTGATAACACATGCATTTAAGACGAGTTTAAATCTAATTTAGACTGGCTTGTAGTAATGTATTTTCAACTATTTTTGACTTGTTTCAATGTGTGTTACTATCTTACAAGGGTGTCAATGTATTTTACTTGTTCAGAATTGTTTCAATGTATTTTAAATGATTCAGACTTGTTTCAGTAAATGTAAACTATTTCTTAGTGGTCTTGATTATGACAAACTATTTCAAAAACCGTTCTTGTTTCAATGTAATAGTGTAACAATTTCAGACGGGTTTTAATGTATGCAGCTACTTAGTCTGATTTCTATGTAGGTTTTATAGACTGGTTTCAATGTTTGATTGGCTTAAACATATGACATGTTCCGAACTATTTCAGACTGGTTTTAATGAATTGAACTCTTTCAGACTGGTTTTAATGAATTGAACTCTTTCAGACTGGCTTTAATGAATTTGAACTCTTTCAGACTGGGTTTGATGTCTTTAATGCCCTGGACTTAATGCAGAACAAAACATTCTTGGAGAAACTCAAGTTTGGCATTGGGGATGGCAATTTACAATATTATTTGTATAACTGGAGATGTAGTCAAATGGAACCAAACCAGGTTGGTATACTATTCATCAGCATAACCTGCTAAATGTAATTTATATACTTCTCCTGACACTATTTTTGGAACTGGCAATTATCAATTTTTGGGGATATCAAAAATGAATTTTTGATTTTGGTCAGGCAACAGCATAGAGCCTGGTCTAAATGTACAAATATGCAGACTGGCCTGGCTCTGTACTGGTGGTATAGGTTATCCACAGTTGGTTCAAGCCGGGTGAGGAATAATCTTAAGTAATATGGGCATCAGTGATGAACTATTTTCAGTAAAGGAATTCACTGAAGTCTTGTTTTAATGAATTGAACTATTTTAGACTGGTTTTAATGAATTGAACTATTTTCAGACTGGTTTTAATGAATTGAACTATTTTCAGACTGGGTTTAATGAATTGAACTATTTCAGACATATTTTAATGAATTGAACCATTTCAGACATGTTTTAATGAATTGAACCATTTCAGACTAATTTTAATGAATTGAACTATTTTAGACTGGTTTTAATGAATTGAACTATTTCAGACTGGTTTAAATAAAAGGAATTATTTCAGACTGGGTTTAATGAATTGAACTATTTCAGACTGGGTTTGATGTCTTTAATGCCCTGGACTTAATGCAGAACAAAACATTCTTGGAGAAACTCAAGTTTGGCATTGGGGATGGCAATTTACAATATTATTTGTATAACTGGAGATGTAGTCAAATGGAACCAAACCAGGTTGGTATACTATTCATCAGCATAACCTGCTAAATGTAATTTATACACTTCTCCTGACACTATTTTTGGAACTGGCAATTATCAATTTTGGGGATATCAAAATGAATTTTTGATTTTGGTCAGGCAACAGCATAGAGCCTGGTCTAAATGTACAAATATGCAGACTGGCCTGGCTCTATACTGGTGGTATAGGTTATCCACAGTTGGTTCAAGCCGGGTGAGGAATAATCTTAAGTAATATGGGCATCAGTGGTAAAGGGTCACTGATTTGACACCATTTGACATTCACTGCTTGGTGTTCCAATCCTGCTAGGGACTTTGGAGTTTCTATTTAGGAAGCTTTTCAGCTATCCACCTGGTCAGTGGTTCTACCTTGGCCTTTATGGACAAATTTTAACAATGTTTATTTGATTGGGTTTTATGTCACATTGACACAGTTTAGGTCATATGGCGACGTTCCAGCTTTACTGGTGGAGGAAGTCCTCATGTGCCTTTATGTGCATTTTTACTATGATCAATGATTGTTATTGAGTTGACAATTTGACAAATGTGACAAATGTGTAAGCTACATATACTTTTATTTCTGTTACAGGTTGGGCTTGTATTGCAATGAAGTAGGTATTAGGAAACTATTGTATTTACTGTACAGGAAGCTGGGGAAAATGAGATAGTGGTAGTTGACCTGCAGAAAGAAAAAAAACACTCTGTTTTGTGATATATGTTGATTTTCTCCAAAAAACAAAACAAAAAACAACTTTAAAAGAACAACCTCACTAAGGTGTACAGGAGTGAGATATATGATGTGTCACTGTGTATAACATGTAATGTAAAATAAAACATGCACTTTATCTGCAATGCTCCATGAGTAGTACATTACACTGGTGCAGCGTGTTCTATTTTTTCTCCAAAAAAATTTCCTGTGAACAATAACATTTACTAAATGATCATACTTATGTTCCTTCATTTAAAGTTAAGTCAATGAGTTGTTTATGTATTTGGTAATTTTTGCAATAGTCATTTTAATATTAATCACATTGGCAAGCCTTATTAGTATGTAGAATGCGATAAAAGGTTTGAATGAATTTTAAGTTTTTCTGGGTTAAAAGTTTCATTTTAGATAGATTAAACCATTAATTTAAAATAGTTTATATCGTTTGCTACAGTCGTTTTGAATGACTATCAATAATTGAGATTATAATTCGATAATATCAATTGATAATGTTCCAGCATTAAGGAATGATACTTTTATTTGCGATATATGAACACCAATCAATAAACAATTAGTACTACAGTATTATGAACATATACTGAAACTTTTACTGTGAATTAATAAAGCCAAGGCTACATCATTAAATTTTATAATTCAATATTTTTATGGATATTTTGTTGAACGTTACTTGCAGAGATGGTGTTTTAGAACAATGTTTAAGTATAATAATCATGTTTATGAGCTATATGAACTTTTAGAATGTCTATAAACTATATGTTTATGGTATTTGAACTCGGTATATAATGTACACATTCATGAACAGTTACGAATTGTTCACCAACTTTTTTTGCTCATTATTTAATTGGAGATTCATATTGGCAAGTTAAAGGAATTGCCATTCTTTACATACAAATTATGACGTTTTTTACTTCTCAAAGTAAAAAATCATCCAAACAGTTATGTGTCTGCGAATCATGTGCTATATTTATCTAAGAAATGAATTTATGTTAATAATATTGTCGGCATGAATGCATGAGCGGATTAGTATATAGTTATGTGACACAAATACTTGTTATGTGTTGGCCCATGTATTCATTTTTTTTCAGACCACTATTGCAACCTTATTGATACCTTCGTATTGTGTGAAAGTGTGTTTGATAACTTTGACACTGTTTTCAAAGTGATGACAGAAAATTAAAGAATTCCCTTTATTTATCTTTTGACAGAAAGAGTGCTTGGAAGGGCACCTGAGGTCTTCCTCCACTAGTGAAGCTGGAATGTCGCCATATGACATAGTGTGTCGGTGTGACGTAAAACCCAAATCCTTCAAACAAACAAAATGTAAATTATTAAGCAGTGAAGTGCTTGCATCAATTATAACAAACTTCTTCAACAAGTATAGAGTCAGGCTAATCGTGTAGTGCTACCTGATTTATACAGTATTCATAAAGCTTAATTGTATTTTTATTTGTTATCCAAAATCTATTTGGCAATTCCAAAACCAAGAGAAGGACATGCCCATTGAACACATTATTTATAAGAAGTGGTTAAATCTATGCTCTCCATAAATTTTAAAGAAGCTAGTGAGAATTTGAGAGTAGCCCTCGAATGTTTGTTAAAACATTTTTGTTTACTATGTCTTTGCAAAAATAACTAGTGACTAATTATATAGAAGCCTGCGATTTTGAAAGAGAGCACTTAAGTCAGTTGATTTACAACATTGTTGTAATATTGAATCATTTTGTTCACCAGGTGACGTACATAGCATTGATGTTTTCATTATTTTCTATTCTTGGATTGTAATATTGATTTTTTTATATCAAATATTTAATGCACACATTTATGGTATTTATTTTAGTTCACCGTTTCATCGTCGGCAGTTTTTGTTTTAACGCTTTATTAGAATGGTTGGCACTTTCTTTGTTGTAGTTTTTTTGTAATTATTTCATATCCGATCTGAACCATGGTGTAAAATTGATGATAGAATAAATGTGCTGTTTACGTAATGACAGAATTTGTTTCCATTCAGGTTTTGCATTAAAATATCAAGTCATTGTCAAAAGTCGCATAAGTATCAATTTCGGTTATCCTTCATTTCCATGTGGAAGATCAGTGAGTGCATTTAATTTTTCTATCACCTCTAAGATTGTAACTGTTATATATGTTTATTTCATGCTTTCCAGTGTTTTATTGTAATATATCAGATGATTATATTCTGATAAACCACTAGTGAAATTTATAAAATATAATTTTCACTGTAGCCGGACTATATCTGAATGCGGATGAACAGAAAATCATAAATAAATGGAATAACAGGCAGAAATAAATGCCGTCGTACGTAAATTTTGCTTCTTTAGGAAAAGAAAGTCAATGTCATCATACATCATGTTAGAAATTTAACAAAATTAGAGAAATTTAACGGAACTAGATTTCAAAACTGATGATGTGATGTCATGATATAATGACGTCACAAAGGAGAATGCGCGACGTTACGCGGCAAAATCATTAAAAAATTACTTAAAATCACTTAAAAAGCATAAAATAAAAAGAAAATTTATTTGTTTTACAAATAAGATTGAAATATATTTCATTCGTGAACACCAGCTATTATATTTTCACTCGTGGCTACGCCACTCGTGAAAATATTGCATCTGGTGTTCACTCAGTGAAATTATATTTCAATCTTACATGCAAAACAAACAAATATCCTCTATATAATTAATTTTTCATCAGCTGAAGCCATCCAGATAGCTTACGAAATTTTGATGTTAACTGGTGAAAATTTTGATGGGTCTTGCTTGCAATTGTACATGGTATGGCACCTATGGTCTTCCTCCATCAGTGAAATCTGCATTGCATTATTTTCAAATTTACGTTCATTAGTATTTATATAGTTTTGAATTAATAAATGTAAGCTGTACAGACACACGCAATTATTGCTTATAAAAATGTTTTAACCACAAGATTATTTAATGTTGTTTCTAATTTCCTATTAATGTTTTATAAACAAAAAAAAAAACATTATTAAAAATATTAAGCTCAATTACATGTAATATATGAAATACTTCCGTTAACTTCAGATCTTGCTTAAAACTTAACTTAAATGTGCTTGTCCAACTTATATTTTTTATGCCCCCACAGAGTGGGAGCATATAGCGTTGCACTTGTCCGTCTGAGTGTCCGTCCGTACGTCTGTCCGTACGTCCCGAAATCTTGTGAACGCAACTCCTCTTAAACCGGATGGCAGATTTTGCTTAAACTTCCAGGGATGAACAACCTTAATGTGTAGATGGTAGTAAAGGAAGGAATTTTTGCTGCAACCAAATTTAACAGAATTATGGTCCTTTGTTGATTTTTTCACTATATACTATGTAGAAATTTTGTGAATGCAACTCCTCTTTAAACCTGATGGCAGATTTTGCTTAAACTTCCAGGGATGAACAACCTTAATGTGTAGATGGTAGTAAAGGAAGGAATTTTTGCTGCAACCAAATTTAACAGAATTATGGTCCTTTGTTGATTTTTTCACTATATACTATGTAGAAATTTTGTGAACGCAACTCCTCTTAAACCGGATGGCAGATTTTGCTTAAACTTCCAGGGATGAACAACCTTAATGTGTAGATGGTAGTAAAGGAAGGAATTTTTGCTGCGACCAAATTTAACAGAATTATGGCCCTTTGTTGATTTTTTCACTATATACTATGTAGAAATTTTGTGAACGCAACTCCTCTTAAACCGGATTGCAGATTTTGCTTAAACTTCCAGGGATGAACAACTTTAATGTGTAGATGGTAGTAAAGGAAGGAATTTTTGCTGCGACCAAATTTAACAGAATTATGGCCCTTTGTTGATTTTTAGTTTTCAACTTGTGGCACATGTAGTCCAAAAAATATTTGACCTAGAGTCATAAGATTGACAGAACAGTGGCGTGTGGGGGCATCCGTGTCCTATGGACACATTTCTAGTTTACCTTTCCATTACCAATGTTAGGGAAAATCATGTTGAATATTTTAAGACCAGTCTGCCAACAGAATAGAGCCCGATCTGACTGCTCGGATGTATAGGCTGACTTGACTCCATACTAGTGGCAAATGTTAATTGTTTATGGTTCAAACAGTATAATCTAGTAAATTAAATTTGTTTTCAATTCATTTTATTCATTAAGTTTTTTGTTCAATGACATCATTATTATTCAAGATCATCAATTCAAACATTTTGAAACAATTGACATTATACAGCGTTACTATCAATAATTTGTTAGACATGATGCAATTAATTTTCGTTATTACATTATCAAAGATGTATCGACACCGTTTCTATAAATAGACATGATGCAATTTATTTCACTGAGTAGGAGCTTGTGTGTTTATTTGAGTGTTAGGTAACTATGATTAATTTTTGTAGTCTTTTTATATATGTTTCATTGTAAATGATAACTTAAAACATTTTTTATTTGCTATCAAGAATAAATTGATGAAAGATGTGTAAATATTCTTTGTGGTTTTTATTTCCCTTTGACAGCAAGTAGTCTAGTTATTTGTGGTTTATTGTCCCCGACCTTTTCAAAGAAAACAAGAGCCATGTCAACATGGCCATCCCCCGCCGAATGTGTTTGCTCATTGGAAGAATGTATATGTAGTAGAGCAGAATAATTCCATTTTAAGAGGTCTTTTGGTAATGAAAACTGATGGCTATAGTGATTACAGATTTGAAACCTATGTGAATACTGATGGCTGAAAATAACAAAGGGCAATAACTGAAAAATAATGCAGGGTAGGTTATCATTCTTGTGTGCTGCATCCCTCCTCAGTAAAATCTATCCACCTATGAAGTTTCAAGTTGATACCTCAAATACTTTTTGAGAAAAAAATTGAATTAAGTATGAAAAATAACAAAGGGCAATAACTCAAAAATTATGAAAGGTAGATTTATCATTCTTGTGCACTGCACACCTCCTGAGTGAGATCTATGCACCTATGAAGTTTCATGTTAATATCTCATAGGCTTTTGGAGTTATGCTCTGGACAAAAATCAATTTTGAAAAATAACAAAGGGCAATAACTCAAAAATCATGCAAGGTAGAGTTATCATTCTTGTGCACTGCACTCCTCCTCAATGAGGTCTGTCCACCTATGAAGTTTCAAGTTGATAACTCAAATACTTTCAGAGATATGCTCCGGACAAAAATGTCGGAGGACGGACGGAAGGTCGGAAGGACGGACGGAGACTATTTCTATATCCTCCGCCGAAAATTTTCGGCGGGGGATAAAAAGGGGGGATATAGAAGTACCTGTAGGCTCTGTCGGTCTTTCCGTCCATCCGTCAGCATGTTCGTCCTTCAAATTTTCGTCTCCAGGCCATAACTGTCATTTATCAAAGGAAATTGAAATAACTTGGCACAATGTTTGTTATAATAAGGCGATGTGTCATGCACAACAACTGGAACCCTACCTCTATCGTCAAGGTCACACTTGGTGATTAAAGGTCAACATTGTCTATCTGAGGGTATATGTCGTGTTAGGTCAGTAACTTTCTTATCCGTGAAGGGATTTTAAAAATACTTAGCAAAAATGTTCACAATAATGTGATGATGTGCCTTGCCTAACAATCAGTCGCCTACCTCCAAGGTCAAGGTCACAGTTGGAGGTCAAACATTTACATAGTCTGTTACAGGGTTTATTTTGGGTCCATAATTTCTTCATAGATCAAGGGATTTTGTAATTATTTGGCACAAATGTTCACAATAAGACGCTGTGTCATTCGCAACAAAAAGTTGCCTACCTCCAAGGTCGTCGGTGTTGGAAGTCAAAGATGAACATAGTCTGCTATAGGGTATATTTTGTTTCCAGTTCATAACTTTCTCATTCATCAAGGGATTTTGAAAATACTTTGCACAAATGTTCACAGTAAGATGATATGCCGTGCGCATCATCCACATGACTACCTTCAAGATCAAGGTCACACTTGGTGATAAAATGTCAACATCGTCTGTTTGAGGGTATTCCGGTCCATAACTTTTTCAACTATCAATGGATTAAGAAATTACTAGGCTCAAATGTTGACAATAATAAGACGATGTGTCAGGCACAACACCTGGACCCTTATCTTCAAGGTCAAGGCCACACTTGGAGGTCAAAGCTAAATATGGTCTTTATAGGGTATATTTTGTGTGCAGTCAATAAATGTCTTGTTGTTCAAGAGATTTTGAAGTAACTTGGCACAAATGTCACAATTATTGGACCATGTGCAACAGCAAGACTCATACCTTCAATGTCAAGGTCACACTTGTGTGCCAAAGCTTAACATGGGTCTGTTGTAGGTCATATTTTGTGTGCAGAATATAACTTTTTCATCAATCAATGGATATTAAAAATAACTTTGCACAATTATAAGCAACATGTCATGCGCAACACCTAGACCCCTACCTCAAAGCTCAAGGTCACATCACTTGGAGTTCAAAGTCTAAAATAGTCTGTTACTGGGTATGATGCCAAGTCAGGCCCTTGCAAATAAAATGTCATTGGTGAATTGCCCACATACCTTGATTGATGACTGGACTCGAAATATACCCAAATCCGAAATGGCCGCTTCGTGAGCCGCGAGGTAGTTAAAATGAATGGTTACCGATTTCTATCCGCCTGGCGCCTGGCATAGTGATAGGAATCGGGAGGTACATGGTATGCAAGCAAAATGTGTCTCATAAGTCAAAATGGCTGGCCCTTTCAGTAGGGGTGACACTATAATAAACAAGACCTTTTATACCCTGTAATCGACCACACCCTGTATTGATTTTGTATTCGTCACATTTTATGGCTTTGAAATGGTGATAACAAGTATACAAAAGTATTTCTGTTGATACATACACAGGAGTTATTTGATTATATTTCTTTAAAGAATTTATTGTAACTTACATGTGCAGATCAAGCATCATCAAAATTTTGCGCTGGAAGTCCACCTCAACCTTTTGAAATAGCACCGTTTTGTGCTTTATGTAAAACTTCCCTAGGCGGGGGACGCTGGTAACTCTGTTACAAGTTATTGTTCAGTATAAATCGGCCCTTTTCGGACACTATACATATAATGAATCTTTTTGTTTATCAAAAGTTGGAGAGTTTGATCAAATATCGATAAAAACCAGTCGCGAAATTTGAAATAACAAATGCTATTGGATGTTAAAATGGTACTAGTAAAAAAATAGTCGCCGTTTTGTCTGTTTGTCCAGAAATGTTGTACTGACTGGAATTCATCGAGTCTCCACAAGATGTTTGCATATTAATATATATGTTTTAGTTCAATGATTTTTTCACAAATTTCAATCTCAAGAAGCCTTATTTTCAAAAGGAGCCGTGCATATTAACAGCTTCTTTCCATTCACTGAGTTGTTCTCAAACGGAGGCCCCTTTAATGCCCTTTTCAACTGCGTTATCCAGACAATGTCTCAGCAAACACGCACAAGATGTCTCCTAAACTTCGCAGGAAATTTCAATACCATTAAGTGATGTGCATTTTCGCCACTTTGGTAGGTTTTTATCAGCTGTGATTTTTGTCTAGACTATTTCTCAACTGACTTGAATAACGAAACTTCACAGTAGGCTTCAGTAACAAGAGGAGCTTTGCATTATAGTGGCATGTTCCGGTTCATTGATTTCTTTCTTTAAATTTACTCCTCGCCCGAGGATAAAACCAGCGACCTGAATTATTTATCTAATGCTCTCCCCATTAGCGGGCGGACGGAATCATCCTCAGAAAATGTCAACAATACCGTTTAAGTACTAACGTAAAATAGGCCAACAATATTGTATTGACACTAATAGAACACAGAATGTTATATAAAATTCAACACCTAGATAGATCATAACATTTTTATTCAAAAAGAAAACGCAGCTTCAGTAAAATGCACCAAATAAATACCCAACTTCTACATGAACATGCACCCTATAGACATCTGTTTCAAATTAAATTAATTAACACATTATTTATACAAGAAAGAAAAGAACAACTTTCAAGGTGGTGAAATATGAAGCACGTTACTAAAATATGTATCATATGCAATAGGCATACACTGACTACATGGAAAGCTTTCAGGCATTTGCCTAAAAGTTCAGTTTTTATACTCCTGAAAGCTCTCTTTCTATATAAAACCAATTGAAATATACTAAATTCATAGTTTTTAGGTTTTCTGATACATGTATTTTTAACTTGCAGCCATGCTATGCAATCTTTAGCGATACTTGAAGTCCTTTATTTATTGTTTACATAACTAAAAATTTGTTTTGAAAAAAAAATGCATTTTTCCTGCTTTTGAAATGTAAAATGAATATTAAATACATCAAGTAAATATATCACCGAAGAAAAAACAAACAAAAACAACAACATTTACCAATAAGTTACACTTGTACTCCACATTTTTAAACCAATAATGTTATATAAATATTAATAATATGCACATCCTCGAGTAATAATACTTTCATAAACCCAAACAAGTCATTTCAAACAAACAAAAAAAGCCATAAATATGATGCAAAATTATACATTCTACTCTTTGGTATTTAGGTTGCTTGGGAGGGAAGTTGTCAAGGAGGGAAGACATTTTTATAAGTCTTCTTCCTTTCTACTTCCATGCGTAATGCGTTTCCTTCTTTCCCAACGGATCTTTTTCTCTTTTAAAATATGACGGCACTCACTTCATCGTTACTAATTTCATATACAAACTGGTGGTGAAAAATTCATGTATACAATTTAAGTGACATATTTGTTTACTCTTGACACAGTTTCTTCACCTCTATACCAAATTTCATTTTCTGTTTGTTTAACTTTCCTTTATTTTTTGATAACACGATATCGTCGTCACACCTCTGTGATTTTCTTTTTTGGGAACACAGGCAGAGGTGGTAGATCGAAACTGTAATGATCGCTTACAGTGACATTGTCAACATTAACATCATCAAACAGATCAATATCCATATCACTGACCGGTTCTGGATGAAAAAAGTCCTCGTCGCTCGTCATTCCAGGGCGATAATTATCATACTCCGATTCATACGCAGATGAGCCTGCCTCCATATTCAAATGAGGATCACTTCGCGACATTTCGCTCCCGGAGTCAACCGACGAGACACTTATGCTGTCGATACCTAGACCATTCCGTCCGGAGAAAAAAGGAAACATATACGCGTGCATAGATGGTATATCATGTTTTGATTTAGGGCTTCCACAAGTTGAAGACTGATTTGATTGATTATGCTCGTCCCTATCACTTGGAATATAGTCCAAACTTCGACAATATCTAGGCGGTATCGTGTAATTGTTCCGTCTTTTAATCTGGTAAGGGTTGATTCCATTTTTGCCTATTAGAACCTTTCCATTTGCTTTCTTTGATTTGTCCATATCTTTAATCTTACCTCTGCTCGCTTTATTGCTTACTACGCTATTATCTGTAACATTATCAAAATCACTGTTAGCACCATTTAATAAAGGTTCGTATTCCGTAAAACCTTTTATTCTCACATTTCTAAGATGATCCCCTTCATCTGAATCAAAATCCGACTCGTCATGGCGACCAAGCAAGTCTGTATGTAAATTTATATCAAGAGATGGGTGATCATTTGCCAATTCTTTTAGTAATTGCGTCAATGACGTTGATTCTGCTGACATAAGCGGAAACTTTGGTGTCTGTTGACCACGTGGGATACTGTTTATCGTATCACTTGAGCGTGACAGATGTCTGTGTCTGCTAGGAAAGCTAAAATCCGAATTTGCCAGAAAGGCTTTTAAGTGATGATCAGGATTTGAGATTTGACGAACGTATGCTGGCCTTGCAAGCTTTAACTCGATCGGCTGCAGCAGTACAACAGAAGAATTTTCACTCTGTTGATGAGATGCTACCGACTCGTCGTCATCTGAAAATGAACTCACGTTATGACTAGGCTCATTTCTGTTCCGCATAGGAACAGGAAGGCCTCTTGGTCTTGATTTTGGACTAGAATTACTTCTCTTAACTTGCGGTACAGATTTTCGATGTTTTATCTTATCTTTTGCACTATCAGAAGGAGACCGCTTCAGAAGGGAAATTATTTTTTCTTCTTCATCTTCAAGATCTTGAGATTCTGGAGGAGGTGGCAACAATGACATCATTTTCCCATCAATACTTGCAACCAGTGGGTTGCCAGAGGTTGGCGTCAATGTTGACGCGGAGCTATTACTGCTATGATGTGATCCATCAGAAATTCGTCGAGGATCTGGGGGTGTTGGGCGAGGCGGCAATCTTGTTAATGGTTCGTGCTCTTGCGAGTGCAAAGGCGCCTCAAACGAATTTGGTGTACTTCTTTGCATATTCTGGGGAGTATTTCGTTTCGATAGTGTCTCCTTTAATGGTGGTGTAGGTATTGGACTGTGATTTGGGGATGCCGACGCTGCAATTGGTTCCCGATATACTGCAGTCACAAACTTTTCTTCGCACGTTTCATCTGGAGATTTATTTTTGTTAATAACGCTATAGGTTGCCTCATTAGGAACATTATTTTCTACTTTGACATGCCGTAAAACTGGGCGATTAGGCAGGGCAGGATTAACGACTGTACCAAGTTCTTTGAGTACATTCGAACGTTTCCGCCTTTCCTCAGGTGGTATTTCATCAATACTGGCAAGATCATTTTTCAAAGCGATGTTTGCATGGTTGTTAGGAAAGAAGAAATTGTTTTGTGGGTTGACACTTCTAGGTGACTGGCACGGTGCAGACCTAACCGGGCTGAGAATAGGATTTGTGACCCCAGCCTGCACGAGGGGCGTCTCTTGCATCATAGGCACTATTGGATTGCTCACTTGATATGGAACAATAGGGCGCCCGTGTTCAGATGAATATCTTTTTAACGGGTATGGATTTTGATTTACGTTTTGTGTTTTAACAGGAGTAATACTATCGTAATGTAAATGTGCATATCCAAATGAATCTCTATTTTTGGCTGGCAAAGGAGGTGGGATTTCATTGTTCAAAGACTTTCTAACAATTTCTTTGTCCAACGGGTTACTAATCGAACGATTTATATCTTTCTTTTTCTTAAGTTTAGAATGCTTATCATTGTGCTTTACTTCAAGTCCAACCTTAAGACTATCAAACAAATCATTTTGTATTGCTCGGGAATTTCTGTCATCGCCATCGTTCATTTTTAAATTCCTGAAATGCACTGCAGGCAATTCCGGTGAGTCCACTCTCATATAGGTGGATGAAGTTTCTGATGGTGGACCTTGGTTTGAAATACAGTTTGTCAATGAATTATTGCTAAGCTTTCTCAACGGATTTCGCGAGTCTCTTGGACTTTCAATGTTATTTCGTCTTCTACTTAGACTGCCTGGAGGTGTCGGCATACTCATTTGCATATCTATCTTTTGTGCATGCTCTTGCTCATATGCACGCACTATTCCACTTGGCGACCTTGGCGTTGATTTTAATGACGAAGACGGCGATTGAGGCACATTGGCGGTAGCAGACACTACTCGGTCGTTACCATTCTTTTCTGTAGGGTTCGTACGTTGACTTAGATTAGAAGAACAAGACGGAGAAGACTGACTAGTACTTGAACTACTCTGTTTTCCTTGCTTGTGGTCCTGCTTTGAGCCACTCTTTGTTGATTCAGATGAAGTCTGCCTATTAAAGAACCCTCGACTTTTTGGTGTATTTTCACGTGGACTAGATGGACCCTTTGACTGGCCTTGACTTGGAGATTGTGCCCCTTGTGAAGCCAATGGTGGTTTGGGATTTGGTAGACCAGTAGCAGCTTTTCTTCCAATTAACCAATACGTTGTCATTTCTCCTTTACCTTTTACCTTTACTGTTCCTCTACACTCAAACTCGTACCAGTCACTTAGTGCTTTTTTCACATCCTCTGTCGTCTAAATATAAAAAAATAATTACATTTTAATGTGATACATTCAGTGTTCAACCTAGCTTCGTCTAAAAGGTGGCCCAGTTGTTTATTGTTATAAAATATAGTAACAATTGTAAGATATTTTAATAGTAACTTACTAACATTTATATGAACTATTATGTATCAAAATGTTCTATTATAAATATAAGAACTTATTTATGCACAGTACAACACTGAGCTTGAATTTAAAATGACCAGAACCAATACTATAAAATCCTAATTTTTTGTCGACATGTGGCATATTCTTTAATGTTAATTACATGTATGCAGCGACAGTGCCCATTAAAAACCAAATCTCCAATCACACTTAAAGTCTACCGTTCTTCAGCTAATATTGGTCGCACTCACCTGTATGGATCCAGGTTTTCCCGTACTCTCCATTCTACTGGCAACATTCACAGTGTTTCCCCAAATGTCATATTGTGGTTTTCGGGCACCAATCACACCCGCTACCACTGGACCAACATTAACACCTGAAATACATATTCAACTTCTTAACTTGCATATTATGTATATAAAAACAATCTGTATTTTGCTAATTCAGCTTCAACATTGTATTTGTTTCTTAAAGAACGTCAAAAGTTTATTAATCCCCACGTGTCGATGAAAGAGTACGACAAGTGCACTGCGGGTAATTTGTATTGCCAAACTTTGTTATTTATCAAGTAAAAAGGAACCCTTAAAATTCTAGAAATTTCCAGACTTCTTTAGCCCTGCACAAACTACAGGAAATTAAGTGCTAAAAGCTTACCTATTTTCAGCATGAAATTGTTGTATGAATTCTCATTAATATTATGAAGCTTTTCCTTCATAGCCAGAATAAATTCCACCAGTATTGACAGATTCTGCGTGATTGAATCAGGCGAATCCTGAAAAAGAGACAAGAATGATAGAGACCAATTTATCTTCAATATTATTTTCTAACATCCGCAACAGTACAAAGAAGATTGTTTAAATTTCATTAAAACAAAGAGGAGAGGTCAGCAAGGAGAGAGCCAAATTCAATAAAGGCAGACCACCAAACAGAACCATCGGTAAGGTACCCTGCAAGGCAATGAACAAAAAAGACCGCAAAATGGCGGAGCAAGAACGGGGCGAATCATTTAAACCTAATAAAAGAATTTGATTACGGAAATAAAGTTAAATTTATTTAATTCAATATAAATGGCAGAAATGGAAATTACAGAAAAAACTATAGTTTTCATCGTTTCAGAATGTTTTAATGTTTTCAAATAAAAGAAAATATAAAAATTTCAATTAGACTCTTTGAACAAGAAATAACAACACTGTACTTACAGCTTGTATTTTGTATTCTGGCATCAGACCTATCGCGCCCATGTAGGTACTTCCGATGGTCTTAATCTTGTCAACAGCACGGAATTTTGGCTCATTCAGAGACTGCAAACATATTACTTATATTCATGTAAGACCGACAACAATATTTGAACTGAATTCATTACATTATCAAAGGAGATGAAATAAAAATCATTAGTATAAGTATACATTCAGTTGTAAGGTAAATATCAAAACTTTCAATTAATCATCAATGAAACTAAAAGTTCCAGAATCGTCGAATGAATTTACGCATGTTCAAATGATAAGAATTACACTGTGAACTACATTAAATCATCACATGCACATTTATTTTGCCTTACCTATATACGACCATGTGTCAACTTTTAGTCATCTCGCATTTAATATGATGATGGTGGTGTTGGTGGTTTTCACCCAGGATAACGACAGTAAGCCACATTGAATTAACAATAAGACAGTAGTTTACGAGTACTAGTTTCGCAAGGAACTGATAACTTCTGTACATGCCAGAGCAGAGGTACAGTGCCAATGACCATAGAAAGGATTTCATGATCAGTCACAACGAAAGTGATCTGCAGCGTCCGGGAATCGAACCCTGGTCGACCAATGCACAGTCCAACGCTCTACCTATTGAGCTAACCGGACAACTGCATTTAATATAATCACCATACCCCTACTTTTGCACTACTCATGTATTCACCTAAACATAAAAGCTGACGTGTCTTACCTCATCAAAGTCGGCGATTATTTCGTTGAGGACACGAAGGCACTCCATTCCTTGGTTGTTAGCATCAAGCTCCATATAAAACTCGGAGAAGTTTGGTATTGAGGCAAAGAAAACGCCAATCTTGCTGTAGTGCTGGCTGTACAACTCCTGAAGCAAAGGAATGGACTGTCTTTTGTTTTGCAAAATGTATTACCGTACTTGTTTCAGGCCTGTGCGTATATTGTATATAATTTTGTTTTTGAAATGGTTATTGCAAATTTCAAAACAAACTACGTACCGATAATTCTACAACTGGAAATACGAAGTTTAATCAGTTTAAAATTTAATGAATTACGTTTTATTGCAAACCTTTAAAGTACAACTTTGTAATGACTACGTAATGTAATATTCAGTCTAAATCATATTATTAACTGGCACAAAACAATGTTTCTGATCAAAACACCCGTATAGAAGTAAAAAGAAAATTGGATTATTCTGTGATTTCAAATATGCAGGTTAATTACAGACGTCAAGACAAAAAAAGTTGAGATTAAAAACTGTTTTACAGAGTGAGACAGAGACAAAAATTCATTTGTGATTCCTATTTCATTTAATTATTTCTATATAAAAAAGCATTACCAGAATCTTGACTGAAATTATTTTTAATTTTTGCCTTTCCTAAAAACTTTTAGTAGAAGAAGCTTTTGAAACACTGTCAGGCAAAATGAATGCAAAAATATGATGCGTTTTTTATACCTTAGAATAATACAGAAATATTAAATATGACAAGCTTATTTAAAGACTATTCTAAATTAGTGAAAGAATATATTAAATTCACGCAAAATGTTTTACAAAAAAGAAATGTTTGCATATTACTTTTACTGCACAAACTCATTGTCACTTTATGTTAATCCAAACTGTGTTGAAACGGCATTCATGTATCTTAACATTATTTACTAGTAAACTCTTAACCCTGTTTTTATGATAAAATAAATTCGTACGGCTCTAAAATGAATACAAATTTCTAAAACGCAAACTTTCTCCCTTTAATTCACTTGTAATACGTGGAACCAGTCATAGAAATTGACTTACCATATGACTTTTATTTTGGTTATCAATAAAATGTGCCGCAACATGAGCTGGTAACAAGTTACATAATATCTGTCGATTATTATTCTGTAAGTCTGTCATCTCAATCTTCTCTTCTGTCGCCTGCAATAAGTAAACAATAAACATAATTTATGTAAACAATAAACATATGTAAACAATAACATAATGTAAGAATAATACTATGTAAACAATAGCAATAATATGTAAACTCTTCATATTTAAATATCAAAATTTACAATTAAAAACAATTAACATTGTAAAATGAAAATATATGACCAAGATATAATGTAAATAAGTAAACAAACACATGTAAACAGCTTCGTTTAATATGTAAACAATGAATATGTACACAATAATAACTTATAAAAATAATAAATATGTAAACGATAGTAACATATTAACAATAATAGTATGTAAACAATTGATATGTAAACAATAATTAATATGTAAATAATTTATATGTAACAAAGTAAGAGTTAGAAAGATTCGAATATTATGTAGACAAAAACAACAACACACCCCTCAAAAAAAAAAAAAGAAACGATAAAAAACATTTGAAAACATATCATATTGATCTAAGATCCAAAAATCAGGTTACTTTACATTTGTACATAAACTTTATTTCTTTTTTGTATTTTATTTTCTAATCTTTTACTGACGTCACAATGTTTTACATTATTTGAATGGTTTCTGAATGAAATGAAACAACAAGAAGAGAAATGAATCGCACGCAAAGAAATAAAATACATAGAACCAGTCTGAACTGAATTTTGACAATAAATTCCATGCTCGTTTGTTTTTTAATTCAAAACAAAGAACATGACTCACCAGGGACATGAAAATCTATATAAAAACATACTGGAATAGCAATGTCTGGCATGTAGGACCATCATTTATTATCTGCATTTAACCATATACAAATTTCCAAAATCAAAAGCAAACATTGATATAGGATTTACGTAATATTTACAGAAAACAGACGACATTTTCAGGAGCCAATCTATAAATTTTCAATTTCGGAATGTCAGACAATTCTGTATTTATTTATGATTTTATTAATATAATACTACCAAATAATCGACCATTGCAATTGTTTTATGATATAATATATAATTGTATATTCCATATGAGGAAAAAAAAGTTTCTTGAAGGATTGGCTGAGGTAATGTTTTGATTTTCCTCCGTCTGGCAAAATTTCGAAATATTTATATATATTTTTTTCAGAATTCGCTAACCATAGCAATTTACCAAATTTAACAGGAGTGCCTTTGAATAATTGTCAAGAAATTAGATATAAATCAAACGCAAGTAGCCGACAAAATGTAATAGTTATTAAATATTTGTGTAATTACCAAGTTAAATCTAATAACTTGCATTGTCGGGAAAATAATGTTGAAGTTTTATTTTGTGGTTTTAGCATATGCAGCATAATTTTGCAGTTTATGTAATCTAACAAAAAATTTTGAAAATATATTATATGAAGTCCAACAAATAACTGCATACCAATAATATACGAGTAAAGTAACAACTCAATTAATCACTGAATCAATCACTGAATCAATCAATCAATCAATCAATCAATCAATCAATCAATCAATCAATCAATCAATCAGCAAATCTAGCACCAAATTAATCTAATAGCTAACATAGAATGTTTCGAACATCCTGTATTTTCGTTAACAATCTTCATGAGAACTGAAAAAAATCATTCTTTTTCAGATTTTTTTCCTATCTTTGTTTCGTTTTATTATTTTTTAAATTTATTTATAGCTTGATCCTACCTGTGTTTTCCATAAGAAGTCCAACCGTGATGTCCACTCCGATTGTCTCCCTTGTACATACAGTGTCACCATGAATATGATCAACACAACTATACCGGAGAAATTAGTAGGAATGATTGGGCTAAAAATAAAAGAGAATTGCATTTTGTTTTGTTTTGAATTAATTCATTATACTTTTGCAGCAATCTAGTAGGTTTAGTCCGATTTGAAGAAACAGTTTTAAAACTACATCTTATGATTCTATTGTAATTTCTCGGCAGTCAATCATTAAGTAATTTGAAGACATGTTTTCAGCGAGGACGCGACTTTCTTTACACTGGAAATTATACAATAAATAAATGTTGATGATATCTGATTTAATTTACAGGCAACATGAAAAAAAGTCCTACTTAAATGAACAGTCGTTACAGACATTTTGTTGGTTTTGGTTTGGTCATAAAAACACTGTAAAGGTCAAATGGCGACACGTCAGTTTTACGGAGAAAGATCTGCGTACATGGTTACAAGCCGTTTCTTGGCTAGAATCACCATTTTTCTGTAAACTAGATTTAAAATCCGAATACTTAACCTTTCGGCTAAAGAAGGCTCAAAAGATATTATTAAATTAATTAACATACTTGTATAGGCTATCAAACTCTGTGAATATTTTTGAGTGCGTATGTTCCATCAAGACAATATAGCCTGCGCCCATGATCAGCATCAGTAGAAACTTGATTCCAGCTGCAAGCTTCAGGAACACCGAGACGCTTATGTACGCCATTACGCACGTGAGGTACACGTAATGAGGAACGCCGCATTGAAGATGGCTGTCTGAGGCGGTATCCGAGAGCATTGTCTTTGTAAACACATGGAACACACCATCTGCGCAGCAAAACTGCAGAAAAATCAACAGAAAAATAAACCAGTAAGACTATTTGTTTACATTTTAATATACTATTAATATAAAAGTTATTCTGAATTTAACAAAACGTGTAAATAATGTGTTTAGATGTTTCGTTCTGTAAACGTTGAACCTGAATACTATGGCGACAAAAAATAACATATAATTCTAAATTAAGTTTCATTAATTAGTTAGTTTAAGTACTGTTAAACCAGAATACTTTGCGACAAAAGATAACACATATTTTCTTAATTAAGTTTCATAAATCAGAGAACTTCAAAAATTTAAGAAAAAAGTCGAAAGTATCATTTCAGGAATATTATCAATTTCATTATATGTTACTATATTAATGTGACGTACATTCCTTTATCATGATTTCGTTTTAAATATAATGTAAAGAAATATCAAATAGAATCAAATATACATGTACCATGAGACTATTATGTCAGGTAATATACTAAAACCACAGTAGAGCACTTTTTTGAAGACTATGATTTTTGTTGTTTGATGTACGTTTCTCAAGAAATTCTTAGCTTAATGCGTATTATAACTTTGAAAAGAAATTATTATTATTGTAAAAACTGATTGCTTTACAGGGATGGTCGCTCTGCAGGGGTTGCACTGTACTTCAATGGACGTGTTGATCACGGTCTTTTATTATAATATGATAATACACAATTTAGGAATTATTGTTAATTTCTACATAAACATAATGTTAAATTGTTTTCAAATCTACATACAACATTGACTTGCGCCATTGCATAGATGAGTAACACAGTTGTGATCATCACAAAGAGCCGTAGACCCGACGATTTCCGAATATCAAACTCCGTGCACTAAAAATAAAACAAAAAAACCAAAACCAAATTAAGATTACGTAACATTTATTAACAGACGAAATAACATATATATTGTATTGAATTAGCTTAAGGTAGACTAAAAAATAACAGTTACATTACACTGTAACAATAATTCAATTATCTAAAATTGAAAACAAATAAAAAAGAGACGGTATGGCAGACAAATCTAATATTACTTTCATTTCTTTTCAGAAAACAATACGTGATATCAATACAAAAGGACAATTAAGACAATCCGGGTAAGGCAGACACCAATCCGCGATTTCATGATTTTTTTCGGAAATTAAATCAGTTTCCAGACAAACAATCCAGTTTTATATATAATTCAAGAAAGATAATAAAGGCAGTCTGACAATAGTTCCTATTGCATGTGTTCAAACATTGCAAGAAACTGACATCCATGTTATACTATTCTAAAAAGACAAGCAAAAAAGACCAATCTATCGCAATAAATCGAACTATAAGTTCGTTAAAAATCGACATTTGCCGTACCTACAATTTACCAAGAAAGCGTTTAGTTAACAAGGATTTTTTGTTGCTCTTTGCTTTCGATACACATTCGAGCTTAAAACTCATAATAGGGCGAAATATGCACTATTTCTACGGAGCAAGGAATGTTGGGAAACATACTCTTTTTCTACGAGACACGAAATTTGGCGATATGAGTCAAATATCTGTGAAACACGGAAAATGACAAACTGTGCTCTTTTATTTACGACTTACGGAATGTGGCGAAACGTGCCACATGTCTACGAAGCATGAAATGTGACGGAATTTCAAGAATAATGATCTTGACTATTGATCTTTAAGCACATGACTTGAGGCAATACTTTGATAGACAAGTTTGATAGACATTTATATAAAAAAAGATTTAAAGTTAAAAAAAAATAAAAATGAAACAAAAATACCTTTAATTTCACACTCAGTATGAGCATTAACACAACGGCTATCCAACAAAATGATGCTAAAAATAGCATCAATAGCAAGAGTGTCCTTGGTAACATGGCAGTGTTTAGGGCGGCTGTACATATTAGCATCAACATAGAGCATATCATACTGCTACTGAACGCGAAGTCATCCATGGCCTGATACTGTAATGGTGATAAGAAACAATCACATTAGAAGAACAAAGGGAATCTAACTAAAGTTCAGATCTACTTAAATTATTTCCTGCATGTAGATCTGATTGCCACCGTATTTGTTTCACCTTGACTATCATTCGGATTTCCCGAGAAAAAAATCTTTTGCCATGCAATGTAATCAAACCGTTTTTACAGATATGCCGCATTTTTTAAATTATTTAATTAACTTGATGAAAAAGAAAAAAAAAAGATACAATATCTCTCGTTCAGTTAAATGATCTAAACTAAACTTGATAGAGAAAGTCTTAATCTAATATTCATGTTCAAGTATAAATCAAAATGTTTTTTGATAGGTTAAGAATGCATTGAATATATTTTTTATTTATTCTTGTCAGATAAATCTTTTTTAGCTGGGGGCAAAAAGAACAAGGTAAATATAAAATTCAAAACTTTTAAATAATCTGCTTACACTGAAATTTAAATTTCTGTTCTTTCTTTTCTTTCCACATAAACTCATTTAATCACAGTGACGTTTAAAATGATACAGTTTTTTTTATCAAACTTTTGTCAAAGACTGAATTCTTGCAATATTGTCCCGCAAAACTACATTAAATTTTGTATTTGAATAGTTAAACAACCTAAATTCTAATATATCTCGTCTTTACAATTATTACAAGTTCAATTTTCAGGAAGCCATCTAACGAAAGAAAAAGGTTTCAGTAGTTCTACCTCAATAAGACTTCATGCTTAAAATTATGCAAAAAAGTTCACTAAATTTACTTCCTTCTTCCGGTATGTTGTCATGTTATTATCTATAAATATCAGAATGACTCAAAACCAACAAATTTAGAAGTAAGTGAAATGCAAATTGTGCACTGTTCCATGAATAAAAGAGTAATGCCTTGTTAAAACAATAATATCAACATGACTGTGCGACCGTAAAATCAAATTGAATATGCAGAATGACTCATTTGAGTGCAATTTACCTGAAAATATGCTTGTTCTAATGCATTTGTTTAATTACTTTGCTGTTCGCCATTAAAATGAGAAGAAATGAAACGAAATGTATTTCATTTGAGGCATTTGACAATATATTTGTTACGGTTTATACGCAAAAAATGATTTCATGTGTTTTCCAGTTTGAATGCGTATCGAGCCAAATAGTCAAACAACAATGAAGGGGCAAAGGCAAATTTCTTGTCTTGAACACAGTCGTTTGATGGTGGATGTAGCCGATCATTCAAGCTCATAATCCATAAGCCTTACATTATCCATTTAATGACAACCGCTTGATTAAAGAAGGAAACAAGATGTTTAAAAAGATAACAGGAGGAAACAAGGTGAGTTATACTCTTAATATACAATGTCAAAGCTCATTATGCCTCAAAAATGTTATCATTTTTATTTCTCAAAAACTTTCTATTTTTGGTATCTTGTTACAGTTTCTAGACAATCCTCATTTGTCATACAGATAAACTATCTTTGCTTCTTTTGCTCTTTTAGCAATCGGTAAAATCAAAGTGAATTAGGATTTTGTATGAAAGGCAAAATACTACTATGTTTACATATTGCTTCCTTTACGACACATTACCGCATATTCAATATTACTTTCTTCAGCTGTTAAACATCTAACATGCTCTAAATCAATTATTAAATATGTTCTACATTTCTTAAGAATATAATCAATATGTATTTATGAGGCAAAATGTGCCATTAAACTGATTCTTTCTGTCCATGCGACCATTACAGTCCTAAATAAGCCATCACGTGTCCTTGCTTACATTCCATTGTCTGTGCATTTCAATCAGTACAATTTTGAAATTTCCCTTAAATGTGAGTGACGAAAGGCTTCGTTCAAAAATTAGAGATTGACAAGTCTATTTCAGATATTAAGGGAAATTGTTACCTACCAGTTTTTCCTTGTCGGTGTTTCTAAACCTTAATGTAATATAGTTTACATGTTCCGACTTCTCTCGCTCCACACTTCTTGCTGTAATCGCTTGATTAAGGTACTTGTTTACCCTGTCTACTGGCGTCGGCTTGTTGGAATGCCTTAAAGTAGAAAACGAAATACTATCATAATAGAATGATATAGAAACAAGTGTTTTTATGTTATCAGAATTAAGAATAAAACTTTAAAGTGCATTATGACGTAAAATTGCTATTGTCTTTATTTCTCAAAAATGTTTAGCTTTGGTTTTCTGTTATTTTTTTGAAATGGTACTCATCGGACATAAAGTACATAAGGCTGGGTCATCCTTTGCTTTTGTTGGCCATTAGATGATAAGTTAACGTTTAAGTATTTTGTATGGGAGAAAAATACACTTTGTTTATGTTTAGCTACTTATCTGATGAAACTATTTCATTTTCAACGCTGCTTTCTTCATGAGATAAACATCTAACATGCAATAAATTAAAACATTATAAATCAAACACAATTTTGTCTTGTCTTAAGAGGCCAAATCGTATTCAGTTCCGAGGCGTATTGTGCCTTTTTTAAATAACATGTATATTTGTACGTTTCAAAATCTAGACATGACATATATTTATATATTCTTTCCCCTATGTTTTACAGTTTCTCTTAATAGTACAACTGTGCAAGTCCCAAATGTATATCTCTCTTAATACGTTTCACCAATAATCCAGTAATATTACTCTTTAATCAGTTAAGTACTTGAATACCTACATCTAGTATAGCCCATGGATTATAAAATACTTAAATACTTTACTGTCTGTAATAGTAACTACCATACTAAATTAATATGCAAAACATTTCTTCAAGTAAAATATAAACTTACTAAAGACCATCTGTTAATAAAATTCACATGTTTTGCTTAGATAATTATTGCTCTAAATCATGTCTGGAAAATCTTCAAAAAGTACAAAAGAAAATTGGCAATCTACGGTTTTATCACTAGCAATCTACAGTTATATCACCAGCAATATAAGACACAGTGCGCCATAATGTGACACAAACGATGACTTCATTTCCGTTGTCTAGCTTGCGACAATGTTATCAAGAGATAAATAAATTAATGAAATGTCTTAGAGATATCATATTCTCTCAGACAGAAAAGCGCGTATTTTCTTTGACAGACAGACACGATGAATCAAATTCTTATTGTATCTAAATATTGCTTAAAACATGATTAAAACATTATATAGCTCACTGCTTCATTATTTTGTAATGCATATTGAAATTCCGAGAATTGTTATAACATGCGTTCGCTTGCATCGAATTTCAATGACGTGGAATAATTCATTGCATTAAGAACAAGCCAAGACAATTATTTAAATGCTGATGTACATGATGTAATCTGATGCTGAAAAACACGTCTTTTAAGCCATTATAATCTAAAAGAATTCTGAAAAGAAAAATCGTCTTCTGAAAGACAAGATAACAAAATAATGTATGAAAATGGCACACCTGGTTTCCTGAAACTGTTCAAGAGACAGGAAAAAAAGAAAAAGGAGAAGAAAAAATAATAATAAAAATTAAGAAGTGAAAAATCTCTCAAACCACACTGCTTCTCATTTGTAAAGATCAAATATTTAACAACAACAATTATAGAAAACACAATATATACGACTTTCATATATATATATAGAAAAGAAAGGGACCACGATAATGTTTCAAAACCTTTTGGCCTAATCCATTTGTATACTGTGTAATTATGTTGATGTATCAGAATTGATGTTTATTTATATATGCAAAAAATATTGTTAAATTAAATATATAATTCAGCAATAAAATATGGGACAAGTTACACGCTTTGAAAGTTTCGTAAAGTTTCATAAACATAAGCATCTACTAATAGCAAACCCTTGAACAAAACATTTCGATAACCGTTATCACCAACAAAAACATTTTTTGTTAGATAAAATGTCATTGTAAGCATCAAAAGTTTTGTTTGCCCTTTATTTTACAATCTTAAAAAAATACAACCCACAAGAGACTACCTTGATGTATTACCATTTAAAAATTAAACACGTTCTAAAAGTCAATGTCAAAAATGGGAAATTAAAGTAATTTAAAATGATCTCAACGATATAAATTCAATCAGAGTAATTTTAAAACATTGAAAGCAGAAAAAGGAATCAGAAAACACGGAAAAATTGTTCGAAAAACAATCGTCAATGATGTATTAAAAGCAAAGTCAGTTTGCCATTTCTATTTGTCTTAATTTATGCCTAAATTTAGATGCATGTAGTCTGGCATTTAAAAACAATATCTGGCCAATTAAAGAAAATTTAAAAGAATCAATATGATTAAAGGTTCGTTTGTTATTTTTTTTTATAATGTACCGTAATTAGATAGAATTCAAAAATAAAGCAGACGATATTTTAGGTGACAATATTCCCAGCATGCAAACGATGGATTAATGTTTCCGGAAGTTTAAAATATAATTATATAAAAAAATACGTTACAGCTCCATCACATACATGTATTTAACCAGTTAGTGATTTGTTTCAGATTAGTTAGTCATAAACGGGGATACTCTTTACAATAAATGTCATTTGTAATAAAAAATGTATACAACTTTAACTATTCCTTATAATGTATTTATATTAACTGCAACAACCACCAAAAACTCAATTGAAGCTTGTATGGAGAAATAAGAAACAACCATGTTATGAGATTGATATTTGGGCTTTATTAAGCCATAAGTATAACATGAACAAGAATGAGGTAATTTTTCGAAATATCTGGCAGGGAAAAACCGCCAGCCTTAAAATGTATATATATCCAATATTTCATTGTCTTTTATATATCTACTCATATTGATTTCCAAGACTTTAGAATACAATCTAAGAACATCATATGTTATTAGTTGATGCCAGAAGTGGATAAGTGGATAAATATGACACATGTTTTTTAAAATTACAAATTTATGTGTCTGATATTTTTTCTAACTTTAAGAACATATGTAACAATCATTCCTGAAAGTACTTTCTCACAACTCATTAGCAGCAAATTCCATACAGAAACTATTATATACATAGACCCGTAAAATGTTTCTTTTGTCATAAACGCATTGAAATTATGATGTAAATCAAAATTATTATCCTCTGAAGCCTGCAGTATTTCTGGAAAGACTTCAAGAAAAGTATAAAAGAAAATTGACAATCTACGGTTATATCATCTATATCATCAACAATAAAAAGACATTGCGCAATAATGTGACACGCAGGGAGACTTCATTTCCGTTGTCTAGTTTGTGACAATTTAATAACGTGATAAAATGATTAATCACAAGTCTCAGGGATATCATATTTTCCAACATAGACACTGTAAGGAGAAAATAACTTCTTGTATATAAAGTTATTGCTTTTTAAAAATTGGTCCTCACAGATGCCATTAATAGTATTGCTAAATACATTGTACATGCACCTTGTCGGTTTCTATTTAATTGAATTTTATATTCTGTATTATTTGAAATATCATCCCGTCGTGCTTTGCCATTGTGCCCTGTTCTGATTTTATTTGGTGTCCGGCTGGGTTCCTTCAAGGAATTTTTGTGTTGCTTGGTCGTGTGGAGGATTGCGTGTATTGAATGCTGCCCTTTCTTGTTGATCTTGATTTTCATATTTTGGTTAAGTTTTTGGAAAGAAATCATGTATTATCTTTAGAGACAAGTGTGAAATGCATGCATTTTGCTTAATTGCTTCAGGGCAAATCATTTATATTTTTTTATCAGATAAATGATCCATTTAGAATCCATGCTTGATTGGTTTACGAGTATTTGTCATTTGAAACAACAACAACAAGTACAGCCAATGGGTTATAAAATACTTAAGTATCCTGTAATGTATTTTTTTATGGTTTTGTATCATAAAGCTGATGCTCAAATGTAGATTTATCCATATTGTAAGTTTAGAAAAAAGCATTATTTGTAAAGATATAACCGAATTTACATGTCTTGTACATAAAGGGAGGTAATTAGCGAGGTAATTAGAAATCTATTTTCCATAAATTTAAAGCCAATTTTTTTCAATAAGAAATAAATGCATATATTACAATGATTACTTATAAACATTTGCAGTACATATTTAAAATATTATTGGATGTTTGGAAATTGTTTCAGAAGAATTATTATATACATATATAAAATTTCACGTAAGCTTTGTTTCATCCTTAACTACAACATACAGGATCTTTAAATACTTTACCGTCTGTATAATAGTAACTACTATACTTAATTAAATAAGCAAAACATTTCTTCAAGTAAAATATAAATTTTCTTATGATGATCTGTTAATAAATTTATGAAAGTTGTATGTTTTGCTTAGATAATTATTGCTCTAAATCATGTCTGGAAAATCTCCAAGAGGTACTAAAGAAAATTGGCAATCTACCGTTATATCACTAGCAATTTACGGTTATATCACCAGCAATATAAGACACTGTGCGCCATAATGTGACTCAAACTATAACTTCATTTCCGTTGTCTAGCTTGTGACAATTTTATCAAGAGATAAATGATTAATGAAATGTCTTAGATATATCTTATTCTCTTACACAGACAGACAAGCACGATGAAGTTCTTATTTTATCTGAATATTGCTTTTAAAACTAGATTACAAAACAACATAAAACTCACTGCTTTATCATTGTCAATGCATATTCCGACTATTGACAACCTAGAACTGCTTCAACTAGTATCTAATTTGTAAATTAATTAATGCTAAGCAATAGATCAAATAATTAAGAATAATAATGGTACAAAACGCAAGATTTGCATAAATATATATAATTCAGCAATACAATACAATACGGAACAAGGTACGCGCTTTGAAAGTTTCGTAAAATTTCATAAACATAAGCACCTACAAGTAACAAACCCTTGGTCAAAACATAACGACTTCAGTATTCATCAACACTTTATTTTAAGAAAAATGTCACCTGAAGCATCAAGAGCTTTGTCTTGGTTGCCCTTTTTATGCTCCCCTAAAAATTTCGGGGGAGCATATAGTCGGCGCATTGTCCGTCTGCCCGTCCGTCCGTCTGTCTGTCCGTCTGTCCGTTGTATTGTCCGGAGCATAACTTGAAA